AAACTCATGGCGTTTTTTGGCCTGGGAATCTCCTAGTCTGTGGACAGTAAAAACTCTTTTGGAAATGTGGTGATCACTCACCCTCTGCTTGCTCTCGCTGGGAACTGCACTCCAGAGCTGTTCCTATTCAGCCATCTTGGATCTTCTCTCCCAGAATCTCTTATACTAAACCCCATTCTTTTGGAGCACAGAGCTTTGGGAATTATCTGGAGAAGGAAAGCAAGAATAAAAGAACAAATATCCATAAGTGTTTACTCTGTGTTAGGCAACACGTTAGCTACCAGTACTTACAAAGCCAAGGTTTCCTATGTCAACCAGACTCTTAAAACTTTCCAGCTGCCCTCTTCATTCCTCCATCAGCCCCCTTGCCCATTCCTCACACAGCTGTTTCACAAGTCTCCCTCCTTTCTGAAGACTTATATTCCATCATCCCTACCTGTATTCTCAGCAAATAACTAGATTAAATAGTTAAGACAGCCTGGAATCAGAGAAGCTGGGTTCAAAACTCAGATGAGCCTCTTAGAAACTGTGACCCTTGAACAAATCTCTTGAGTCCTCTGAAATTCTGTTTTCTGTGGGTATAACAGTGGTGCCTACCTCATAGCATTGTGAGGATTAAGTGAGACAATGACTACAAGCCCCAACTGTTATTAGCTAATCATATAATACCAGTTTCTATTCTGCAGAGATGATAGAAGCCATCAGACAATAGCTTCTCCTGCTTTCAGCTTCCCCACTCACACATCTACTCTGTGTATAACTGTCCTTGCCCCTTCTCTCTCACCTCAGTAGAAGAATCTCTCTCCCAGCCCATGACTAATCCCTCCACCAGTCTCTGGCTCTCCTTCCATGCTGCCCCCTTAGTGAGCTTTGTTTGTTCTTAATCTTCTTCTATGTTACCATGGACCTTCCCTTTTTGTTTCCCTCAGCTTCAAAGACCATATTCGAGAAAGATTTCCTTAGAGCCTACTACATGCCAGACCCTGTATTAGGTGTTGAGGATAAACATGAATGTGTCATACATCATTTCTGCTCTTAGGAAACTAGGTCTAGTTGTCCTGAAGTGTGCTCAAAAGTGTGCCCTATTAAGTGCTCAAGTCTCATCAGGACCTCTACTTTCCTCCTGATGATGCCTTATTCTTCTGCCCATGGCAGCCTGTATTAGTTCAGGGTTCTCTAGAGAAACAGAACCAATAGGATGTGTGTATAGGGAGAGTGTGTGATTTATATTAAGGAATTGGCTCACGCAGTTGTGGAGGCTAGCAAGTCCAAAATCACCAAATAGTCTAGCAGTATGGAGACCCAGGAAAGGATCACAGTTCAAGTCTGAAGGCAGGCTGCTAGCTGAATTTCCTCTTCTTCCAGGGATAGCAGGCTGCCTTGTCTCTTGAGGTCTTCAACTGATTGGATGAGGCCCACCCACATTATTGAGGGCCTCATAATCTTTTTCACTCAAAGTCTCCTGATTGAAATGTTACCTCATCTAAAACATACCTTCACAGAAACATCTGGAATAATGTGGAATAATGTTTGGCCATATGTCTAGGTATCACAGCCTAGCTAAGCTGACACATGAAACTAACCATCACATGACCATGCTGCTTGAGAGAATTGCCTACGCTAATTGCTTCCCCCTCTCAATAGCAGCAAAGGCCACTACTTTTCTGCTCTAGCCAGAAAGAACGTCCATCCCAGTCAACAGGACCTCTGGTCCTAGGCCATGTTCTAAAATGCTCAGAGCCTCTGCTGCCCAGAAACTACAGGGCAGGAATCTGAGAAGTGCCAGCCAAAGCCTTCCAGCAGCCAGAAGGCCTGGGACCTAAAGAGAACATGAAGAACTTACACGGGGGCACCAGAGATGATGCCTGGTAGCAGCAACTTCTTCTGCTGCTCCTGATCCAGGGCCTGTTGCTTGGGAATATGTGAGAAGCAGTGGATAAGAGCCCAAACCAGGCAGGGGACACTTCAAGTCACCCATGGTCCTATTGATGAATCTGAGGGACAGTTTTTCATCTTTACCTTATTTGATCTATCAAGGGTGTCTGAAAATTCTTGAGCCTCTTGGCTCTATGACACTACCTACTCCCATAGAGCTTTGCTTTACACTTTTTTGATCACTCCTAGGTTCCCTATAGGTTTTTTTTAAACCTCTGACCTTCAAAAAGTGCTATTCCCAAAGGTTTTTTGTTTGTTTGTTTGTTTGTTTGTTGTTATTTTTTTAAGGCAGAGGCTCACTCAGCCACCCAGGCTGGAGCGCATCCTTGGCTCACTACTATCTCCGCCTTTCAGGTTCAAGAGATTCTCCAGCCTTAGCCTTCTGAATAGCTGCTATTACAGGTGCACACCACCACATCTGGCTAATTTTTAAATATATTTTTAGTGGAGACAGGGTTTCACCATGTTAGCCAGACTGGTTTCCAACTTCTGACCTCAGGTGTTCCGCCCACCTTGGCTTCCCAAAGTACTGGGATTACAGGCATAAGCCGCTGCACCCAGCCCCAAAGGTTTTAATCCTCAGCACTCTTCTCTCTCTTTATATGAGTGATTTCTGCCCTCAGGGGAGGGGCATCACGACATTTTCCAAATCTGGTGAAAGTAATGGATCCTCTCCCAAACTGGCTGCAAACACCCAGGGCCTTGCATATAATTTCAGGGGTTCACAGATGCTGTGATGCTTATCCTTGCTCTCCCACCATCTTCTTAACCTGGCAAAGCCCTACTCACCCTTGAGACCTAGATCAGACCTCATGCCACTCCCTGTGGGACTCTCTTTGGCCCATCTCTACCCAGTGGAGGGTAGAAGCCACTCCTCTGCACTGGTCTCTATCTCAGGTTAAGACCCCTGAGCTTAACACTGGCTTCCCTGCCTGTCCCCTCTACAAGCTTGTGAAATGAGCTTCCTAAGTTCAGAGAACATATCATGTTCTTCCTTGCATATTCTATTCTGTAGCAGAGTACCTAGCTCATAAAATGCACTCAGTAAACATTTGATTATAAGTAAATATGTGAATTGAATCTGATTTCAAAGCAGCCCTGTGAAATGCATATCAAAATTCTTACTTTGCAGCTATAGAAACCAAGCCTCAAAGTGAATTATCCTCAGACCCAAAGTCAGGAAGGAGCAGAGCTGAGCTGGAAATCCTGGTCTGGTGACCTTCCTAGCCCATTCTCATCTCACCGTGCCAGGCTGCTTTGAAACCCTGCGGTCCACTAACAGCATGTCCCCTGCTCTTCCCTGCTCCCTCCACTAGAGTTAGGGTTGCTACTACTGAGATTTACAAAAGAGAACTAGCCCAGAAAACACCAGATCTGGCCACAGCAAAGACTGGGTGCTGCCTCATCTTACATCCCCACCCCCATGATCATCATTTAGGTCTTAGGTGGGATCCTCATGGATTTAAGTATTGGGCAAAGAGAATATCCCTGTGGTTCCTCATCTTCCCACAAGCTAAAATACAGAACAAAGTGAGAGGCTTGGTAAAAGCATCATGTGAGAGTTCAACCCCGTGAGACCTTGGTGCCAGGCAAGGACAAAGTAGAACTAAGGACTGAGGATCAAAGCAGAAGCCCAGGCATCCATCCATTCATGCACTTACTCATTTGCTGATTCACTCAGTAAAAATTTATCATGCTCCTGCTGAATGTCAGGCACTGGTACATACACCAAGGGTGTAGGAATACAAAGCAAAACAAAGTCCCTGACCTCAGGAGCTTGCATTCAGCTGAGGGTGACAGCAGTAAACAGATATGGAAGTGGTATGGTGTGTTAGTTGGTGACAGTGCTATGGAGAGAGGTTGAGCGGAGCAAAGGACCTGACAGTGCTGGCCCACTGGGGACTAAAGAAGGCCTCACTGACATGGTTAACTTGAGGAGAGACCTGAGAAGAGGACAGGAATTAAGGGATATCTGCAGGAACAATGTTCCAGGCAGAAATAAAAAGCAAATGCAAAGACCCTGGGGTAGGAACTTGCTTTGTATATTCATGAAGCCTCCAAGAGACCAGTGCAGCCAGGTGGAGTGAGGTGTATCACTGGGAGAAAGGGGGAATCAGTGGGATGGAGGGGTAAGCATGGTGGCCTGCAAATACCACATCCCTTTTCTCTTCCCTGCTCATGTCTGAACAAAACATTAAACAAAACACAGTGGTAGGTGGAGGACCAAATATTACCTCAATTACTAATAAAGGCTAAGTTGGAAAATGGAGCTTAATGTGAGAGCCAGATGGAGGCTGCTGCATGAACCCAGAATGAGATGAGTTCACCCACCCACAGAGGCAACACTGCAGTGGGGCACGCAGCCCTGCAATGTTGGGGATAATCTGCCTCCCCAACAGCCAAGAGCAGCTGAGAACATTGCCACCCTGCAGACAACTAGGTCCCTAGAAGAAGAGGGATGCTGAGCCAAACATGCCAGCTCATTCTCCCCAAGTTGCACAGATCAAGGTGCACTAACTGAACTCCCTTCCGATGGAAGCAATGGAAGGTAGTGGGTTCTCTCCAAACAGCAGCTCTGCTTCCCCAGTTTGCCTGGGCCATTGGTCTAGCAGGGTGACTGAACTCTGCACCAGGCTTGGTTAATATTCATTCTGGTTCTACAAGGTTGGCTCAGGAATGAGGATGGGCCTAAATTAGCTGATGGGTGGCCATAAGTATACCCAGCAATTAAGAATGGATCTGCACAGCTGAAGGCATCATAGGCAAGAAAAATAAGACAGGACTGACCGCTCAGACCACAGAGAACCACAGTTCAAGTCTAACACCCTATGGAAAGTCATAAAATGAGTGATCTCAAGTTTTCCAGGCTACAGACATGTCTTCAAGAAGGACAGAATGTTCCCCTGACAATTTCAGTTTATAAAGCTTTTATAGCAAAAGAAATTGAAGTTAGACTTATAGTTGAACTTCACTGATGTGCATAAGAGATGCCAGGTGAGAGGTGGATACATTTTGAGGGGCGTGGAACAGTAGGAGGGCTTACCTATCTTCTGTTTCGGTTACAGCAATTACCTGTGGACACCCAGGCAACCCTGTCAACGGCCTCACTCAGGGCAACCAGTTTAACCTCAACGATGTGGTCAAGTTTGTTTGCAACCCTGGGTATATGGCTGAGGGGGCTGCTAGGTCCCAATGCCTGGCCAGCGGGCAGTGGAGTGACATGCTACCCAACTGCAGAAGTGAGTCGCCCTTTCTCTCCCACTCTGCTCCCCATCATCTCTGCCATATGTGGTTCTGTAGCTCAAAAAACAAGCCAGTGAATTCATTCTGGCATCATTCTGACTCAGATAGGGAAGATGAGGCAGAAAAAGGGTCATAAATGAGGACTTTCTCAACCCTTAGATACAGCCGCATAAAATTTCATCATCATGGGTTATATAAGGAAAGCAAAACTTAGTATTATCTTGCAGATCTTCTTATTTATATATCACAGAACAAATAATGTATCATTATCATATAAATCCCCATTATTTTTTAACAGAGGCTTATGTTTCTCACATAAACAAGAAATCTAAAAGTAATATTATTTCTGCAGCTGCTCAATGAGGTCAGGAGCAATATCTTGGTCTTTCCTCATGGTTGCAAAATGACTGCTGCAGCTCCTTTGGAACTACACTTAAGAGATACCCATTCTTGATGAAAAAGCAGAGAGTTGAAAAGCAGAGAGTCTAAAAGTTGAGATAAATGGGGTGAGGGCTGGGGAAAAATACACAGAGACGAAGCCAAAGTCTCAAAAGGCAGAAGGAAGAGACAATGTTCTGGCCCCATTTGGAGTATTTAGGATATAGCTTCTAACGCTTTTAGAAGCTTTTGACAGCAGTGAAGCCTCAGAGAGGCTCATCAAAAGTAAAAATCCCATCCTTCCCACTTCATATAATGAATTTCAGTCTCAGGTAAGATAACGGATTTGAAGTTGTTTGGAACGAAAAGTACATTCATGCGTTATGAATAATATTGTCATTATTCTAAAGTCTTACCCTGATTTTGAGTTAAGCTGCTTTGGAAACACTTTAATATTTTAAAGTCAAATTTATCCCCCAGGATATTAATGTGTCCCTGAAATACTCATAAAAGTGATAAAAACCATTTTCAAAAGAGCCCCACCCCTGTGCAAGTCAGTTCAAATGTGTCAGTTTTACAATTGACTTGCTTTGTTGTGGGAGGCACATTGTGCTAGGATCAGACACACGAAGACTCAAAGTTCATGCCCTCAAGAGATTTGTGTGTTCAAACAAGTCACAGCACAGGCTGGTAAAGTCAGCAATAGCGATTTGTGCAAGGGAATACCAGAAAGGGCGTAATCAGTCGGGGAAGAGGTGAGAAGGGTTCTCTAAGGAGGTAATGTCTAGCTGGACACGAAAGGATGAATCTTCTGACCAGGTAACCAAGGTGAGGCGACAAGTCCAGCAACCTCAGGACCAGCTCACCCTCCAGACAGGGTCTGCTTCATTGCCTAGTTTTGCTCTGAGGATTTTGCTATACTGGGAATCCATGTCTGTTTGGACTTCTGTTCAATTGCAGTCATCAACTGTACAGATCCTGGACACCAAGAAAACAGTGTTCGTCAGGTCCATGCCAGCGGCCCACACAGGTTCAGCTATGGCACCACTGTGTCTTACCAGTGCAACCACGGCTTCTACCTCCTGGGCACCCCAGTGCTCAGCTGCCAGGGAGATGGCACATGGGACCGTCCCCGCCCCCAGTGTCTCTGTAAGTAGATGTCACCTGCTCAAAATGACAGATGGAGTGACCCATGTCAAAGAACAGTCCTCCCCTCTGTGCGTGTGTGTGTGTGTGTGTGTGCATATATGTGTATTGTCTTATGGAGATAGTCACTCTGGCTACTCCTGAGATTTTAGATTTCTTCTTGAATTCCTGTTGAGTGACTTACCTTACCAATTTTTGTGTTCTAACTTTCCTAGCTAGAGGCCTGGTCCTTTTCCTCTCTAGAGTTTCTACCCTCTTCAGCTTTCGGAATTCCCTTCTTTCAGAACTGGCCCTTCCTTGCCCTTCCAGAAACACAGCACACAAACCCCTTCCCTTTAAAGGACTGAAGCAGAAAAGCTACAGACTCTGGAGGCAGACCACCTTGGACTGAAATTCTGGCTTTGCCACTGAACAAGTAGTGTGGTTTGCGAAAAGTCCACTACCCTCTCAGAGCTTCAGTTTCTTTTTTTTTCTTTTACCTCAGTTTCTTCATCCTTAAAAATGATGCCAGTACCTATTCCATAGGGTTATTAGAGGATCAAAAAATAAAAATCCATAATAAAGTGCCAGCATAGTATCTGGTACATAGTAGCTACTCAGTAAACTGACTACATTAATTATTATTAGGAAAACAGATTGGGACATGTTTTTTAAAATGGGTTGGGGAGGTGCTCAGAGTCCTGATGTATTAATCTGTTCTCCCACTGCTATAAAGAACTGCTCAAGACTGGGTAATTTATAAAGGAAAGAGGTTTAATTGACTCACAGTTCTGCAGGGCTGGGGAGTCCTCAGGAAACTAACAATCTTGGTGGAAGGAGAAGAAACACGTCCTTCTTCACATGGTGGCAGGAGAGAGAAGAATGAGCAAAGTTGGGGGAAAGCCCCTTATAAAACCATCAGATCTTGTAAGAACTCTCTCACTATCATGAGAACAGCATGAAGGTAACTGCCCCCATAATTCAATTACCTCCCACCAGGTCTCTCCCACAACAGGTGGCTATCATGGGAACTACAATTCAAGATGCGATTTGAGTGGGGACACACCCAAATCATATCACCTGACATCTGGTCACTGGCCTTACATGTCCTTATGAGAAGAGCAACCCCTTGGTCTCCTGCTCTCCCCTCTGGTTCCTAAAGGTGGATCCACATAGATTTCTCTCTCCCCCATCTTCTGAGTAGCAGAGATGAAGATGCACTCCAGATGGAGTAATGGATATGCAGTTAAGGCCATTTAGCAATTCACCTATCTTTGGCAGATTATATACATTTTGTAGGCCCCCCAGTCTGGGAGACTGCATTTTTTTTATGCCTTCATGCCTGTAGGTCTAACAGGAGCCTGGTATAGCTTCTCACTGCTTCTATTTTCCTTGCTTAAGAACTCTGGCCTGGCCATCCAATCCCTTTTTGACCAGCAAATTGTTTGGGGTCAGAAATGGATACTACCTATATAAGGTGGTACCAGCTGAGACTCAGAGCCCCTAATGGGCTCAAATTGTTTTATCTTCTGGTAAAATGCAGCTTTCATCAAAGTGACCCTATCCATAGTAACTTTTGTCCCAATGCTTTTTTTATCTGAAGTAGTCAGTCACATCTTCAGGCTCCACTTCTAATTCTAGTTCTCTTGCTACTGCTTCAGTGGAGAAGTGACCTCCTCCCCTGAAGTCTTGAACCCACCAAAGTTATGCATGAGGGTCGGAATCAGCTTACCCCTGTTAACTCCTGTTAATGTTGCTGTTGATATAATTAATAGGTTACTATATTCATACACAGGCATACATTGGAGGTATTGCAGGTTCAGTTCCAGACCACTACAATAAACCAAATATCACAATAAAATGAGTCACACAAATTTTTTAGTTTTCCAGTATAGTCTTAGTGTGCAATAGTATCATGCCAAAAAATATGCATACCTTAATTAAAAATACTTCATTGCTTAAAAAAAAATACTAACAATCATCTCAGCCCTCAGTAAGTCATACTCTGCTGGTGGAGGACTTTGCTTCAGTGTTGATGACTGCAGACTGATCAGGGTGATGAAGGCTGGTGTGGCTGTGGCAATTTCTGGAAATAAGACAAGTGAAGTCTGCCACATGGACTAACTCTTCCTTTCATGAAAGATTTCTCTGTAGCATATGCTGATGTTTGTTTGATAACATTTTACCTACACAGTATAACTCCTTTCAAAATTGCAGTCAGTCTTCTCAAATCCTGCTGCCATTTTATCAACTAACTTTTACGTGATGTTCTAAATCCTTTGTTGTCATTTCAACAATGTTCATGGCATTTTCACCAGGAGTAGATTCCTCTCAGGAAACCACTTTCTTTGCTCATCCATAAGAAGCAGCTTCTCATCTGTTCGAGTTTGATCATGAGATTGCAGTAATTCAGTCACATCTTCAGGCTCCACTTCTAAGTCTAGTTCTCTTACTACTTCTATCACATCTGCAGTGACCTCCTCCACTTAAGTCTTGAACCCCTCAAAGTCATATGTGAGGGTTGGAATCAGCTTTTTCTGAACTCCTGTTAATGTTGATATTTGGACCTCCTCCCATGAATCACAAATCTTCTTAATGACATCTAGAATAGTAAATCCTTTCCAGAAGGTTTTCTATTTACTTTGCTCAGATCCATCAGAGGAATACACTATCTATGAAAGTTATAGCCTTATGAAATGTATTTCTTAAATAATAAGACTTGAAATTCAAAACTATTCCTTGATCCATGAGCTGCAGAATGGATGTTGTGTTCGGAGGCATGAAAACAACACTCAACTCCTGTACCTCTCCAGTTCTGATGTACAGGATCTCTCCATCAGACCTCTTGGGTGACCATGTGCATTGTCAATGAGCAGTACTATTTTGAAAAGAATCTCTTTTTTCTGAGCAGTAGGTCTCAACAGTGGGCTTAAAGTGTTCAATAAACCATGCTACAAACAGACGTGCTATCATCCAGGCTTTGTTGCATTTATAGAGCGCAGGCAGAATAGATTTAGAAAAATTATTAAGGGCCTTAGGATTTTCAGAATGGTAAATGAGCATTGGCTTCCACTTAAAATCACCAGCTGCATTCATCCCTAACCTGAGAGTCATTCAGTCCTTTGAAACTTTGAAGCCAGGCATTGACTTCTCTGTAGCTATGAAAGTCCTAGATGGCATCTTCTTCAAACAGAAGGCTGTTTTGTCTTCCTTGAAAATCTGTTGTTTAGTGTAGCCACCTTCATCACTTAGCTTAGCTAGATCTTCTGGATAACTTGCTACAACTTCCACATCAGCACTTGCTGCTTCACCTTGCACTTTTATGTTATAGAAATGGCCTCTTTCCTTAAACCTCATGAACCAAGCTCTGCTTGCTTTGTACTTTTCTTCTGCAGCTTCCTCCATTCTCTCAGCCTTCATAGAATTGAAGAGGGTTAGGGCCTTGCTTTGGATTAGGCTTTGGCTTAAGGGAATGTTGTGGCTGGTTTGCTTTTCTATCCAGACATACCTACTTTCTATAGTAGGTGGAGCCAATGATGATGCTAAGCATCCTGCAATGCACAGGACAGTCCCCTATAATAAAGACTGGCTCAAACTTTCTCCATATCAGCAATAAGGCTGTTTCACTTTCTTATTCATATATTCACTGGAACAGCCCTTCTAATTTCCTTCAGGAACTTTTCCTTTGCATTCACAACTTGGGTAATGGTTTGGCTCAAGACGCTTAGCTGTAGGGCTGTCTCGGCTTTCAACATGCCTTCCTCGCTAAGCTTTTAATCATTCCTAGCTTTTGATTTAAAGTGAGAGACACAACTCTTCATTTCACTTGAACACTGAGAAGACATCATAGGGTCATAGGGCTATTAATTGACCTAATTTCAATATTGGTACATCTCAGGGAATAGGGGGCTCAAGGAGAGGGAGATAGACAAGGAATGGCCAGCCAGCATAGCTGTCAGAACACACATGACATTTACCAATTAAGTTCTCCATTTTATGTGGGCATGGTTCGTGGTGCCCCAAAACAATTACAATAGTGACATCAAAGATCACTGATCACAGATCACCATAACAGATGCAACAATAGTGAAAACATTTGAAATATTGTGAGAATTACCAAAATGTGATGCAGAGACACAAAGTGAGCACTTGCTGTTGGAAAAACGGTGCTGTTAGGCTTGCTCAACACAGGAATACCAAAAACCTTTCATTTGTAAAAAAACACAGCATCTGTAAAGCCCTCTAAAGCAAAGGACAATAACACTAGGTGTGCCTATAACTTATAACCAGCTTCCTTCTTTTAGTATTGGCATGATGTATTTTTTTATCATTGTATTTTTAACTGCTCTCTATCTAAAAAGCATGTAATTGTGATTTTTAAATCCCATCTGACAATCTTTTCTTTCAGCTGAAACCCATTTGCATTTTTTTCTTTCTTTTTCTTAGTGAAATATAATTCACACACCATAAAATGGATTCTTTTAAGGTATACAATTCAGTGAGTTTAATGTATTCACAAAGTTGTACAAGCATCTTCACTGTCTAATTCCAGAACACTTCCATTATTCCCAAGCAGTCCTTCAAAGCCACCCACCATTCCCCGTGCTCACCCCAGCTCCTGGCAACCTCTAATGTACCTTTCTGTTTCTACAGATTTCCCTGTTCTGGACATTTCATATAAATGGAATTATATGTGTGTCTTTTGTGTCTGGCTACTTCCACTTAACATAAAATTTTCAAAGGTCATTCATGTTTTAGCATACATCACTCCTTTATTCCTTTTGGCCAAATACTATTTCATAATATGAATATACCACATCTTGTTTATTCATTCAACAGTTGATAGATGAACTGAGACTATTATGAACAATTTCCACTTTGGGACTATTATGTTTTCATTTTTTGCCTATTATGAATTATGCTGTTTTCAACATTTGTGTATACGTTTTTGTGTGAACATATGTTGTCAATTCTCCCGGGCATAAACCTCAGAGGAAAATTGCAAAGTCTCATAGGAACCCTATGTTTAACTTAATGAGGAACTGCCAAACTGTTTTCCAAGTGGTGGCACCATTTTCCATTTCTACCAGCAGTGTATGAGAGTTACAATTTCTCCATATTCTTTCCTACGCTTGTTATTGTTCATTTTTATTATAGCCATCCTAGTGGATGCAAAGCACTAACTCGCTGTAGTTTATATTTGCATTTCTCTAATGACGAATGGTGTTAAGCGTCTTTTTATGCACATACTGTGTAACAAATCATAGTGACTTAATGCCACAGCCATTTTCTTGCTTACATTGGCTGTTCTGGCAGGGTTTAGTGGAGACAGCTCATCTCTGCTCCACATGTTATTGGATGTGGTGGCTCAGGTGGGCCTAGAAGATCCGAGATGACCTCACTCACATCTTGGTGCTGGCTGTCAGCTGGGGCAATATGATTGTTCTCCACATGGTCCCTCCCCTCATATGAGTTCCTGTCATTCAGTAGTCTATGCCAGACTTCCTTACATGGTGGCATAGTACTCCAAACAATGAAGGTAGAAGCTGCCAAGCCTCTTAGGATGTAATTTGACTCAACGTCACTTCCACCATGTTTTGTTACTCAAAGCAAGTCACAAGGCAAGCCTGATCCAAGGGGAGGGGATACAGACTCCACCTCTTGATGGGAGGAATTGTTAGTATCAGCAGTCTTCGCAGATAATCTACCATGAGCATTTAGAACAATGTTAGACCCATACTAAGACCACACTGAGAGGTGAAGATACCTAAGACCCATTCTTACCATCCCAGTACCTACCAAAATTCATCATCGGGGTCAGCACTGGCCCAGCCCAGGTTTTACCTCTTGATCACTTGTCGTGGTCTGCCTGCATGCTACGCCTTGTGTCCTTTCTGGGTACAGTGACTACAGGGATCTCCTACCAGACTCCAAGATTTAGTCCAACTCATTATCGTCTCTCCTTGAATTCCTGCAACGGCTCCCTCTTTCTTGCACCACCTGGTCCTTTCTCCACACAGTAGTCAGTATAATCTTGTTAAAATGTAAATCGGATCATGTAACTCGAGTGGCTTCCCAACATGCTTCTAATAAAATCCAAATTTCATGCCATCATCTGGCTCATAGTGGCCTCTCCACCCTTGTCTTCTTCCATTTTGTCCTGGCTCATTCCAGTCCAGAATCCCTGGCTTCCTTGCTGTCTCAAATACAGCAAACTCACCCTGGCCACTGGGCCTTTATGCCTGATGTTCTATCCCCAACAATACTCTTCCCCGAGATTTTGCATGGCTGGCCTCTTCACGTCATTCAAGTCACTTCTCAAAGTCACTTGATCTTCCCTGACGATCCTATTCAAAAATTGTACCTTCATCTCATCCCAGAACACTTTGCCTGACACAGCTTTTCATAGCAACCCCTGGAATTACCTACTCATTTTCTTACTTGTAGTCTGTCTTCCCCTGCGAGAATATTAGCATAGACTTTGTTCTCCCAAACACATGGAGTCCCTAGCATATAATAGGCACACAATAAATGTGTGTTGAGTAAATGCGAGAACCTTAGGATCAACTTGTGACAAGATCAATGGGAAGGCCAACCCCAGCGATGCTGAAAGCATTGCCCTGCCCTCGCCTAGACCTCTCAATTCTGGTGTTCTAATCTTGTCACTTATTTTCAGTTACACTTCACTGTTTTAGTAAAAGGAACTTGCATACTATAGGAGACAGGTTGGGGACAACTGATGAGCCAACTGTAAGATGCAGTTAGAAAAGGCCTATAAATGGCTCCCATTCTGGAATCTGGGGCCAGTGAAGATAGTCCTAGGGTGTCAGAGCTCCCATTTTGTCTTATGTGTACTCTGTGTAACACCTTCCTGCCCAGAGGTACCCTGAGCAGGAGGAAATAGGGAGAGGTAAGCACAAGAGGCAAGAAAGAAAAACACCTAATGTTATTGTGTATCTGCTACGTGCTGAGCAGGTATTATTCTGGATTCCATAGATTCAGAAGCTGTCCACTGAGGTGGGTGGGCATTGTCTGCCAATGCCAGGTGGGTGTGCCAGCAGGAAGTTTGCTTCAATAGACACCCTCAGGTTTCTCTTCTTCCCTGCCTCCTGCTTCAAGAAGCCTAGCACGTATTGTGTGATGGTATCCATCCCTGTGCAGTCACTGAGATGTTTGTTCTTCCCCCACAGTGATGTCCTGTGGCCATCCAGGCTCCCCACCTCACTCCCAGATGTCCGGAGACAGCTACATTGTGGGAGCAGTGGTGCGGTACAGCTGCACCGGCAAGCGGACTCTGGTGGGAAACAGCACCCGCATGTGTGGGCTGGATGGCCACTGGACTGGCTCCCTCCCTCACTGTTCAGGTACGGGGCATAACACTGGGGAAAGGGCTCCAATGGAACACTTGACTGATAGGATATGGACAAGCCCCCAAGGTGTGAAAATGATTGATGGATGGGAGGAAATCAGACCTCGGAACCCTTGTATCTTCCCTCAAAAGTAGAGAGCACGGCGAGATGAGGTCCCATCAGAGCTTCAGCCTTTGGCAGGCTGAGCTGAGCTTTGTCTCCTTAGTCAGCTCTGGCCATGCCCAGGGATTGCAAAACTAGAAAGAGCAAAACTTTTTAGGTCAACCTATGCCCAGAGTCCTGTCCAGACATTTGATTTTATGAGTTCCTGGGGACAGTTCAAGTCTTCCTGTTGATCAGCTCAGGTCCAAGCCCACTCCCATGTTCTCTCTTCAGACTCCCAGGCCCCAGCCTGTTTCCTGCTTCCTTTTCTTATCACTGCCCCTCAACTTGTCCTATGTCCCAGCTACCTGGTGGGGTGCAGTCTTCTTCCCTACTGCATTGAAACACAGTCCCCAGACTCTTCCTATTAAGTTCATTTTACTGCTAATGAGGATACTGATAGATGCTATCAAAATAACAAATGTAGAGAACTGCCAAAGGTCCCATGTGCATAGTATCCAAACCAGAAATGAATACATAATGTCATATAACAGAGCAAAATATTTACAAGTGAATTGTCCTGCCAATAGCAGAAACCACCACGCTAAAATATTAGAGCCTTGCAGCTTTGTCTTCTTTGAGAGGGTCCTGCCTGGCCCTGGGAAGGGATTCCATGTTGCCAGCAAGAGGGCAGCTGCTAATATAGCTTGATGTTCCTCAGGGAGCCCACCTTGGCATTGAAATTAACCCCTAGCCCTTCCCAGGCCAGATCCCTTCAGAGGAAAGGAACATGACCTCCTCCTAATAGAGAAGCCTTTTCCTTGATGTGGGACCGTACTCTTAAGATGTGCCTCTGTTCTTACAGTTTGACATTCCCAGTGAGCCTGCCTCCCAGAAGTCAAGTCACTGCCAAAATATTTAACAAGATATTCATTACATCTCTCTAGAAAGTAGAGAGTCCCAAAGCCACTGTTTCAAAGGGCTTCTTGTTACCCAGGAAATCCCAGACACATCATTCTATATGATCATCCAGGACTTTGGCCTCTCACCCCTATTAATCTCATTAATCACCTGATTAAGGAACTGGGCAGGACTACATAGGAGCCATGAGGACTCATTTAAGCTGGGCTAGAGGAAGTCCTGTTATCTGTGCCCTGGCTTCCTTCTGCTTGGACCTCTGACAGAAGTGATAGGCAATACAGCATGGAAGGACAAGGGTCATGCACATTGCCTCTCCAGCCTTCCTGCAGCTCTCTGAAAACAGAATAAGAAGGGACTCAATCAATACGAAGGCTGGATAGAGAGTTAACCTTAAATGCCTTAGATGAGAACATGAGGGATGAGAAGAATAGGCGATTAGGAAGTAACATTAGTTATATACCACATATCCAGAGATGGTTCCTCCCTTCCTGAAACAGATGTCATCTTTTGCAGCGGCATCTCCTGCCAGTCCCATGAAATACACATTTATGAATTCCAGATCAAAATTTTGAGTCTCATTGTGTCCAAGCAGTGGACCCAACTGTTGTTCCACAATACCTCCTGCCTGAGTCCTTGAGTCATAAGCCACTGGGCCACCAAGGCTATGGAGAGATTTCTGGAGTTCGAGACTTACTTCAGGAAGTTCATCACCAACAGCTCCACTCTCATTCTCTTTGCCTGTTCAGTAAAAAGTTGCCATCTATCTACTCTGTCCCGTGGTGCCATATCCTATCCAGGCTCCCTTCTTTCATTGAACTAGAAGCCTATATTACTGTAGCGGGAGCCATTCTGGCAGAAAAAGGCCCGAGGACTGAACACCACTGTATTAGTCTGTTCCCACACTGCCAAAAGACATACCTGAGACTGGGTAATTTATAAACAAAGAGATTTAATCAGCTCACAGTTCTACAGGCTGTACAGGCTTCCGCTTCTGGGAAGGTCTCAGGAAACTTACAGTCATGGCAGAAGGGGAAGCAGGCACATCTTCACACAGCTGGCAGGAGAGACAGCAAAGCAGGGAAGTGTGACACACTTTCAAGCAACCAGATCTCATGAGGACTCACTCACTATCACGAACAGCAGGGGGGAAATCCGCTCCATGATCCAATCACCTCTCACCAGGTCTCTTCTCCAACTTGGGAATTACAATTCAACATGAGATTTGAGTGGGGACACAGAGCCAAACCAGGTCAACACCCTTGTGCCTACTTTACAATTGTGTTGGCTCCAGCTGAGGTCAGCTAGCCAGTGTGTGGAGTTAGAGGTGCTCACTATCAAGATTGTTTTCAAGGAGACCCAGTTCTGCCTGTTACATGAATTACATCCAGGAAACCTTCAAAAGATAAGAAAACCTAGCCAAATGTGATGGACTCTCTTTTATTAATGTTTACATTGAAGATTAAATGAGTCCCCCTTCCATGGTGGGAAATATAATGGAGAACATGTGATTATGGAGTGTCTCACAGTCTGAGACTAGACAAGGAAAGGGAATAATCCCGAGGTTGAGAAGTGGAAGAGACATAAATGGAAAGTGGTGGGGTACACATGACTTAAACATTTATTGGCTCTAACAAACTAGATGTGGTCACTCAGATGTTACCATTTGATGCCCACACATGGTTATATGAGGAGATAGATTCCATGACAGTTGTAACTATCTTCTCACACAGTTGTCATTTATTCTGTAATTTTTCTGTCTTTCCTCATGTTTACCATGGCCTGGACTGCTCTAAGGACATCCCCTGTACATTTCTATATCACAAAATGTGTTGGCCCTGTAGGGTGGACCATAGTTCTTGTGGCTTTGTCTCTGTTCTCTACCCTTCTTTACCCCTTGGGTCCTTAGAGCTCTCTTGAGTGGGCTTGTGCAATACCAGCAGCCAGAGAAATGCAGGAATGTAGCAAGAGGCAGGGGGTAAAGCAAATATGAAATGAGAGGGTCTGAGATGTTTAATATAGAGTTCACCTGTATTGCATAATTCGTGAGTAGGGAATCCTCAATGAAAGGCCCAGCATTGGTAACTTTGAATATTTATCATTTCTTTGTGGTGAGAACATTTAAAATTCTCTCCTACAGTTATTTGGAAATATACAATGCATGCATCAAAACATCACCTCGAAGACAGTGTGGCGATTCCTCAAGGACCTAGAAATAGAATTCCATTTGACCCAGCAATCCCATTACTGGGTATATATCCAAAGGATTATAAATCGTTCTACTATAAGAACACATGCACACGAATGTTCATTGCAGCACTGTTTACAATAGCAAAGACCTGGAACCAACCCAAATGCCCATCGATGATAGACTGGACTGGGAAAATGTGGCACATATACACCATGGAATACTATGCAGCCATCAAAAACAATGAGTTCGTGTCATTTGTAGGGACATGGATGAACCTGGAGACCATCATTCTCAGCAAATTGACACAAAAACAGAAAACCAAACACCGCATGTTCTCACTCATAGGCGGGTGTTGAACGATGAGAACACATGGACACATGAAGGGCAGCACTACACACTGGGGTCTGTTGGGGGGAAATAAGGGAGGGACAGTGGAGGATGGGGAGTTGGGGAGAGATAGCATGGGGAGAAATGTCAGATGTAAGTGAAGGGCAGGAAGGCAGCAAATCACACTGCCACATGTGTATCTATGCAACAATCTTGCATGTTCTTCACATGGACCCTAAAACCTAAAATGCAATTTTAAAAAATCACCCTGTACCCCATAATATATACAATGATTATTTGTCAGTTAAAGAGAAAATGAAACTTTTTAAAAAGTAACAAATAAATAAATAAAGGCCCAGGATCGAGATTCAAGCTAGGCTGCTGAGACATGAAGCTATGCTGAGGAGTTTGGACTTTATACTATGGGCATTGGGAAGCCAGTAGAGATGTTTCTGCAGAAAAAAAATTATTTGAAGAAAAAAAGTCAGATGGTTAGTGATTGTTAAGATTAGAGGACAAAGTAAGAGATGGATTCGAAGGATAGTTTACAAGGAAGGGACATTAGTTGGGAGGCTCTTGCAATAGTTCTGGCAAAGAATTGTTGAATGTCTAAGCTAAGACAGTGGCATGGGAGAGGAGATGGGACTACAGAAACAGCAGGTGTTTGTAGGAAAGAGGGGAAGGGGGAAAGGAGGACATGTGGCCAGTTTGAATCACTGAAATTCCAGACTGGTGCAGGCCACAGAGCCTTTCCTCCTTCTTGCTTCCCCTCCCTGTGTGGTTTCCAGGGACTTACCCAGGACCTCATATCTTCATGTTCTTCCACAATTGTGTAGGAAGGCAGGAGCACATGCAGGTAACTTGTGCTAGGCTCAGTCAGGTGTCTCCTCCCTCATTCATGGGGCCCACTGCTTCCCCTCAGTCACATCCCAATATTTTTCTCCCCCACTTCTCCACTCCCTTTTCTTCCATGAAAAACAACCGGGTTTGTGTGGCTGTGGTCCATAGGAACCAGCACGGGAGTTTGCGGTGACCCTGGGATCCCAGCTCATGGAATCCGTTTGGGGAACAGCTTTGATCCAGGCAGTGTGATGCACTTCAGCTGTGAAGCTGGCCATGTGCTCCGGGGATCCTCAGAGCGCACCTGTGAAGCCAATGGCTCATGGAGCGGCTCGCAGCCTGAGTGTGGAGGTAATGTATGTGACCATTCTGCTTCTCCCCTTTGCCTAGCCCCAGAGCTCGCCCCTGTTCCTGCTCTTATTCCCAGGCACCTGCCCTCACAGAGAAAACCATGGCCCCATTTGAACCCTCGGCCTGGCTGTTAGGGACTGTAAAAGATAATTCATTAGTGCATTTTCATTAGTAATTGAAAGGCAAACATATTCCCACCCTCATCTCAAAAGGGAAGAAACCAAAAAAGACTTAATTTGACCCACTATTTCATTCATTTCCCACATAGTTTCATTCAGCAGCTATGTGCCAAGTGCTGTGGAATGGGATGGAAACACAATAATAACCAAGATGGACACTGCCATGGTGTGAATGTTTGTGACCTCCCAAAATTTTATGTTGAAACCTGGTCACCCAGTGATAGTATTAGGAGGTAGGGCCTTGGTAAGTTATTAGGTCATGGAATGGGATTAATGCTCTTACTGAAAAAAAAAAATACCCCAGAAACCTCCCTTTCCCTTCTCCCATGTGAGGACACAGCAAGAAGGCACCATCTCCGAGCCTGAACAGATGGAGACACACATCTTGCTCTCCTGGGGCTTACAATAAGGGAAGAGGCTACATTAGACAAATATCCAATGTGCCAAAAGATACAAAAATACAATTTTACAAAACCCTTTCGAAGTAATCTAGGCCCTCAGTGGTGTTGTCTGAGGTAGCACCAATAGGAGAAATTACTATTTTTCCATATGTTCCTAAGTTTCTGGGAAAAAAAAATTTTAATCTCTCTCTCCAAAGTCCAGCCTTTTGCAGCTGGCCCCCAAATCTCTGTCTCTCTCTTTTTAAAATACAGCCTGCATAGTACTCTCATAGGCAGGAAGCAGGTTCAGTGGCTGAGAGTAAGGTTGCATGAGAAGATGTGGAAGAGGATATGAAATAATCATCTAGCAAGATACGAGTGGAATGGAATGGGGAAGTGTGGAATGGCCAGGCAGCACTGAGGGCTCACTTAAGGTGGGGAATCATTAATTTAAAGTGAGAGCAGTCAGTGTCAGACTATGTTTTTGTTAAACCTCATTTTGCTACCTAGGTGTGGGCACAGGGCAGACAGTACATTGGGTACAGAGCTGGAGATTTGCCAAGCAATGAAGACATTGGCGAAAGCAGCAAGGGAAAAGAGGGTGAATGTGAGGCAGAGATTATGATGGATCTTGGCATTTAAGCTGGGTAAGGAGGGAGCAGATTTTTGAGTGGAGTCAAAGGCAGTGAGAAAGTGGTAGGATCAATAGATTAGAGATCCCCATAGTACTAATCACCAGAAAACGAATCGCAGAAGGAGGGAGCTGAGGGCACAGGAGGCAGTGGTTAGAGGGCAGGCTGCTGGAAACTGAGCTTGTGGAGTAGTCCTGCAGAGCAAGGGGAGATGCTCTAGCCCGGGGGTGTCCAATCTTTTGGCTCCCCTGAGCCACGAAGAATTATCTTGGGCCATCCATAAAATGCACTAACACTAACAATAGCTGACAAGCTAAAAAAGAAATCACACCAAAAAATCTCATAATATTTTAAGACAGTTTATGAATTTGTGTTGGGCCGTATTCAAAGCCATCCTGGGCCACATGCGCCCATGGGTTGTGGGTTGAACAGGTTTGCTCTAGTCCATCACCATCAGGGGACTCCTGCCTAGGAAATGGGACAATGGAGTCAAAGCCCTCTCCCATTTGTCTTCCCAAAGTCCTGCCTTTCTGGTGGTGCTATTTGCAAAGTTTGTTTCTTAGAATTTTGCAGGCATAGCAAGAGAGGTTTGTGGCATTGGGAGCGTGTAATGCAAGGGAGAATTTAGTATATTCTTGTGTATTCATGTGACCCACATCCTCATCCATACTACTGAGCTGCCACAGGTCGAGTCAGTTACTATGTCAGTTACCTGAGTGTTCAGGGACAGAAAGTGGATGGTTATGAGTTTGGACCCAGAAGTAAATGTCTGTTAAATGAAAGAGAGAGAATATACGTATGCACACTCAACCTTACTCTCAGCTGTTAAATCAAATCCGTGTGGCTCTGATGACTGCTCTTGACATACTCCGATCTATCCTTAAAGGTTCTACTCAAACTCCTATCTCCAGTCCCAATAAGATGCCTCCTTTTTCGTGCATTTTCCCTTCAACAATAACACTTAATATGTCATACCTTAATTCATCTGTTGATTGGTAGGTTTCTTAGAATAGACTAAGCTCCTCAAGGGGACATAGCCTGGTCACTGTTGTATTCCAGGCACACAGGCAACACAAATATTTGCTGAACGAATGAGTGTCAAGGCTTATCTGTTGGGCTAAGTATATAGCAATCATTTTGTAGATTTTATTTTGGGACCACATAAATGTTGTACATACTTAGAAAATTAAATTAAATCAAAGATTAGAAACATGCAGTGTCTAAATATCAAAATCCTTGTGGAAACAAATGAACCTAACTGTGTATCAAGTTGATAACTTAATAACCCCATTACTTATTTCAGCTGACTTGAAAAAATGGAACTTGACTATGGTGTATATCCCAATGACAAAGAGAGCTACAAAGAAAACTTAAACTGTTCTCAGCAATTGTATTGTTAACAATAATATTGATATTACTATCCTGAACTATTACATATGCAATACCATAATATATATGGATAAAACAAATACAAGTTATTTATTGTCATTAAGAATTAAGATTTTCAGAATAAAAGAGATAAAAGATAAAAATTAAAAAGTTAAAGAAAACCTTAATCCTAAATTTGGATTGATAATATCAGTATAAATTCATATTTTCTCTTTTTAATTATTTTTATTTGTTCAAATGTATGGGGTACATGTGAAATTTTGTTATGTATATGTAATGTACAGTGGTCAAGTCAGGGTATATAGGCTGTCCATCACCCAAGTACAATACATTTTTCCCTATAGTCACCCTACTCTGCTATCAAGCACTGAACTTATTTCTTCTTTCTAACTGTGTGTTCATGATCTTCAACCCACTTTTCTTCATCTTCCCACTCTCCTGACTCACCCTTCCTAGTCTCTATTATCTGTTTTTCCACTCTGTGCATTCATGTGATCACAATGTGTTTTCAATTTAAGAAGTTACTTTCCCAGCCCTAACTCTAAAGGTCTAGAATCAATGACCAGATCAACGGCAATGAGTACCCTTAGTGCCTGGATTGTGGTCCATTCTCCATTAAAAGAAACTAGACTCTTTGGAGAAATGGCTAATTTCTGGGCTGGGGCAGGAAATATACAAGACAAATATGGAACATCTCATCACTCCAGCAAGGATTCCACCGAAGATAACTGGGGTCACGCTAAATGGACTCAGGAGCCAACTGGAAGAACCCATTGGCCAAAGATGGAGAATCTGAGCATCAATAAGAATAATAATGGCAATGGATGGGAAGATAGAAAATATCTTTGGATCCATGAGTTCAAAAATGATTCTTAAATAAACATATTGGTCACTTTTGGAGTTTTCTAGGAAACCAACTCATTATTCTGATATTTGAGTTAAAACAAAAACCACAAACAAAAAATCAAGCATTATCTGGCCTTCCTATATGAACAGTATTTCAGCATAAGCAGATATTTGATGATAAGAAATTTCTTTCTTAATGAACTCTAGCTAATACAGAAAGAATGATAGAATTAGAATATCATCACTTTCCAATCCCTAATGAATTAATGAATCTAGTCAATAATCATCAATGACTGCTAAAACTATTAAGTGAAAAACTAATTGAGACTTCATAATGCCACATTAGGCAGGCAAGCCCGAAATCATTGATGAGCCTCAACATCATGAACAAGAAAACACCCAGACATTCTGTGCCTCCTGATTCAGTGCAATAGGAAAGGCCCAAAACCACCTATGATTACCACTGCCAAAAAGTAGAAGTTGATTACAGAAAGGAACTACAGGGGATAGAGGAGCATGTTAAACTATATTTCATTGATGTAATTAGCAAAATCCAGAAAGTGTGTTCTACAGGACAGATGTTCTGGTCTCTGTAACAAATAAGTTACAGAAGCAGAAATAATAGTCTCTGGTTTCAAAGTCTTAGAGATGTGTCAACCCAATGTCATTTGCGGACCTTATTTGGATCCTGATTCAAACAAATCAACTGTTAAAAAAAAGAGAAAGATGGCTGGGCATAGTGGCTCATGCCTGTAATCCCAGCACTTTGTGAGGCTGAGGCAGGTGGATCACGAGTCAGGAGTTTGAGACCAGCCTGGCCAATGTGGTGAAACCCCGTCTCAACTGAAAATACAAAAATTAGTGAGGTATGGTGGCCCACACCTGTAGGCCCAGCTACTTGGGAGACTAAGGCAGAAGAATTTCTTGAACACAAGAGTCAGAGGTTACAGTGAGCCAAGATCATGCCATTGCACTCCAACCTGGGTGACAGAGTGAGACTCTGTCTCAGAGAGAGAGAGAGAGAAAGGCAATTGAGGAAAATCAAGCACTGATGGGATATTTGGTGATATTAAGCAATTATGTTTAAATTTTTAAGGACGATAATAGAATAGATCATCTTTTTTCTTTAAAAAAAAAGTAGAATTTGTTCAGAAATTTCGAAAGATTCATAGGGGTTTCTCCTTCCTGTCTAGGGGTGAGATAATTTGATGCAAAAGCAGCATGAGAGGCATTTCTATCCACGGGGTTCCAACACAGCATGTGGCTTCCACTCTGGGCAGTTCTCAGTCCCCCAGGTGATGCCCACCATCGTTCTGGCGAATAATGTGCATTTTTGTCTTCCTAGTGATCTCTTGTGGGAACCCCGGGACTCCAAGCAATGCCCGAGTCATTTTCAGTGATGGCCTGGTTTTCTCCAGCTCTATTGTCTATGAGTGTCGGGAAGGATACTATGCCACGGGCCTGCTCAGCCGTCACTGCTCAGTCAATGGTACCTGGACAGGCAGTGACCCCGAGTGCCTCGGTGAGAGCCCTGGCCCTGCAGGCTCCATGGCCAACAGGGGCCCAGATCCTGCATGCTAGAGGAGCAGACTATCCGTGGAAGATGGTGCAGGATGGTTGGGACGGTGGGAGCCTGAACGAGAATCATATAAATAGCCTCTGTTGAGCATATGCTGTATGGCAGCCACTGGGTTAAGTGCTTCATTTCGTATGCATGTGTCATTGGATCTTTACCACAACTCCATGAAGTAGCTACTGTTATCCCCATTTTGTATATGAGATGGCTGAGGCTCAGAGAGGCAGAGAATATATATTGGCCTTTTCTCAAGCTCTACCCAATTCCTTGGGCTTTCCCTTTTCTCTCTTAGGATCAAACCCCATGACTCAACCTGATTCTCTTTTCACTTCAGAGTTGCAGCTATCCACCATCTTTGTTGCCTCCTTCTCTCCTTGTACCTGACCCCACCCAGTATGGGTTCCTGAGCACGATGTAGCCTCATAGCTCCCATTTCTTGCTCCTCTCAAGGGTATCCCCAGACCTTTTCCAGGAAAAGTGAGTCACTGGGGGATCCAGATGGAGGGAAGAGATAGGACGAGGAAATGTGACAATATTCTCCCTGTCAAAGTCCTAGTCTATGATTTCAGCTCCATCTGAAATCCCATGTCAAGTTCACTTAGGTTTTGAGATCAGAGCTCACCAAACCCCACCCTCAGTGATGCAATGACATAGGCATGACCATTTTATGGGTCATAAGACCCTGCTTGTGGGCTGTTGTCCCTAGGAGTCCTCTGTAGGTGCTGTTGGACCTATAGAGACCTCCTAGGTACAATAGCAGAAAATAAGATTATACTCCTCAGCAGACAAATTAATTGCCTTATGTGGTCCATTAACATACTTTAGGCTCTTCAAACAGAAAACTTCCTCTCCCTGGGCCCTAGCCTCATTTAAGAACTGAGCCCTCTGGACACTTTGTCTTAGGGAGGGCACTTTGAAAAAGGTGAATCTTCACAGCCCAAGTTGCAGCGATGCATAAGGACCCTGTGGGCAAGGACAGGGCCAATGCCAGGGATTTGACCAAACAAAATTTAAATGGGCAAGCTGAGCATGGTGGCTCATGCCTGCAGTCCCAGCTACTCAGAAGGCCGAGGTGGGAGGATCGCATGAGCCCAGGAGTTCAAGGCTGCAGTGAGCCATGATTGTGCCTCTGCACTCCAGCCTGGGTGATAGAGTAAGGCCCTGATGAAAGAAAAGAAAGAGAGAGAGAAAGAAGGAAAGAAAAAGAAAGAAAGAAGGAAGGAAGGAAGGAAGGAAGGAAGGAAGGAAGGAAGGAAGGAAGGAAGGAAGGAAGGAAGGAAGGAGGGAAGGAAGGAGGGAAGGAAGGAGGGAAGGAAAAGGAAAGAAAGAAGAAAGAAACTTAGAATGGATAATGCCTAACTGGGATCCTGTGAGGAGACAGGGCATCCCTGATCTGACAGTTTCCCTTCTTGGATGTGTGCAGGGAGTGATAGGGATGGTATTGGAGGAGAAATGGGGTCCAGGCCAGGAGTGAAAAATGTGTGTCTTTCTTATCTTAGTCATAAACTGTGGTGACCCTGGGATTCCAGCCAATGGCCTTCGGCTGGGCAATGACTTCAGGTACAACAAAACTGTGACATACCAGTGTGTCCCTGGCTATATGATGGAGTCACATAGAGTATCTGTGCTGAGCTGCACCAAGGACCGGACATGGAATGGAACCAAGCCTGTCTGCAAAGGTGTGTCTGGGGGCTGCAGATGTGGATGGAGGGCCAAAAGAGATACAAAAGTGAGATGTAGGACCCTGAACATCTACCTAGAAGGTAGAAGGGTGAAAGGCCAAGCCCTCACACCTTTTCAGGGGGTGTGCAGGGTGAGAACTGGCCCCTGAACATCTGCCAGGAGCGAATCAGAAGTACCAAGATGAGGAATGGCCCATGAACATTGAGGGGAGGGTCCTGCAAACAGAAGGCATTGTAAGGTGCAAAAATATCAGAACTCCGACAGAAAGAGGGGCTCCTTTCTGGTTCTTCCTGTTTAGCCCAGACTCTAGGCAGGTGCAGTGTAGTCAGTGATACCAATGATAGTGACAGGGGCTGGTTTCCCAGGACAGCATCAGAACTCAGCCTGCTTTGTTCTCCCTCCAGCTCTCATGTGCAAGCCGCCTCCTCTCATCCCCAATGGGAAGGTGGTGGGGTCTGACTTCATGTGGGGCTCAAGTGTGACTTATGCCTGCCTGGAGGGCTACCAGCTCTCCCTGCCCGCGGTGCTTACCTGTGAGGGAAATGGGTCCTGGACCGGAGAGCTGCCTCAGTGTTTCCGTAAGTTGCTCACAAGGCCCTTTGGTGCATCCTATTTGATAGCTCCTTCCCCTTGCCTCCTCGGAGCTTTGTGGCTGGAAGGCCCAGAATAGGTGGTCCCCTCCCCAAAACCAGGGAGGAGCTTCATCAAAGACACTGTTAAAGAGGAAGGAAGTGGAAAGGAAGAAAATAAGGATCCCTCTATTGAGCCCTGGTGTCAGACACTGTCTAGAGTCACAGAAGGAAATTAAGCTAGAGATATTGTGGGTGTTTTTTGACCTGAAGGGTTGTCAACTGTATGGAATAGTACTCAAAGATCTGGGGGTACCCAGTCCTAGAAACATGTCTGTTTTTATGGAAAATGGCCTGCACAGAAAAGACTTCTAGGAAACCTGTGATTTTTCTGGTGAGATGCTTTGTTTTTATCCACCTGACCCAGTTGTATCCTGAGGAGCCGCAAGTCTATTCCTGGGCTTTTTCTTTACTGAGGTCCCCAGTTACCAGGTTCCAGGTCACTTATTCTTGTCACACCCCGTGAATGGGTTCTGGAAGGTTTTCTCCATGCCCATGCTTTGAACAAACAGTAGGACCTATTTTTCTAATTGCCGTTCATCTAATTCTGCAGAAAACTACCCATATATTCATGACACTGTTTTGGGTACTGTGAAAATTTGCTTTCATCTGGGAATTTCTGCAGAGATTAGGGCCAGCAGCTCAAAACTGGACACAGGCATCTGGAGTTACCCTCTCCAACCTTCACATGCTACCAGGATCAAGCCTGGACTCAGCAACCTTGCTTTTCCTCTGGAGAAATAATTCATATTAACAATGAATTTCGGTCATCGTGAAAAAAATTTACCCATTAGAAAATACCAAAAAAAAGAAAGTAAAATTATCTGAACTCACACTTCCCAGTGATAACCACAATTCAGCTTTTGATTATGCTCCCACATGAATCACTGTGCATTTTTGCGTAGATAGTGATATGTATACATTTTCTAGAACGAGTATTGGCTCATGGTGTGCATACTGTTTCATAACTTGTATTCATTGGTAGGCCACCAAAACCTTCCCATCAACACTTTTCTACCTTTCTTTATCAACCTTTCCTGATCTATGCATCATCATTTTTAATGGCTTTAAAGAATTTCCTTGTAGATACAAGTTGTTTAATCTTTTCCCACTGGTGATGAATTTAGATGATCTCCAACTTAATCGTGTTAAAAGCAGTCCTGCAATATGTATTCCTGAAAACTGCCTATCTTTACCCCTACAGTAAAGCCCTAGGCATGAGAATGCTGGGCTGAGGGCAGTCACGCTTCCCTTCTTGGCATATGTTATCAAACTACCTTCTAGAAAGCATCCCAATTTACATTCCCCGCAGCAGTTTATGAGAATGTTTCTAGATGCACATTCTCATCAACAATGGATTGTGCCAGTATTTGTAAAATATTTACCAGCCCGAGGAACTTACAAAGATATCTCATTACTTTAATTGGCATCACATCGCTTATGAGAAAGGCCACACCGGTTGCTCTTCACTTGTCAGCCATTTGTGATTCTGGTTCTCTCAGTTGCCTCCTTCTGGATACGGCAGCTTCCCATCAGCTTGGTTTCCAAACTGACTTCTGATTGGTCAGCATAGACTCCCCAGCCTTCCAGGCAGAGGCTGCAGGTTCAGCTTCATTTTATTTTGCACGTGGTTATGAATCTCATGAACCTATGTATGCACACACACACACACACACACACACACACACACATTTGCATCATAGCATAAAGCAATGCTTGACTTGATATCATGGTGAGCTTTTCCCTTTGGTAGTCAATTTTTAATGACACTCTGATGTTTACATGGCCTGAATAAAATGGGTACACCCATACACTACCCACCGCAGTATAAATGTGCACCCTTTGGGGAAAGAAATTTGAAACTATGCATCAAGAGCTGTGAATGTGTTCAACCCTTTAAAAACAATGTGTTCACTCCTAGAGAAATTCTCCTAAGAAAATACGTGTGAAAGTAGAGTTATATGTAACTGTGTGATAGAAAAAGCCCAATATAAGGGTTATGATAAAATACAATTATGGTACAACCACCTGTTGCTAATTGTGTAGCCAATAAGTAACGATGATGTCATGAACATGAGAAATGTTTACAAGATAATGCAAAGTGAATGAAACAAGATTTACCATCGCATGGGCTTGGGTTTGCCGCTCCATGCAAGTTTACATACAATGAATGAATTCTAGAAAAGAATGTGTGTGAAAATGGAAAGAAAGTTTTGGATGGTGGGATTGTCATTTATTTTTCTTCTATGTTCTAAACTTCCTGTGATGTTACTCCATTACTTGGATCATTATTTATAAGCACTTTGAATGTAGAAGAGAGAGGAAGCCCACATCAGCAGCAACACCACAGCAGGTGGAAGCACCTACCTGGGGCTGCCCTGGTTCCCAGAGTTCAAGCTGAACCAGGGAGGGAGCAGCACCAAGAACAAAGGTGGGGTGTGGGACTGGAGGACTGGGTTCTAGAAAGCAACTTAGACCTGCCTTTCTCCCTTTGTCTTCCCAGCTGTGTTCTGCGGGGATCCTGGTGTCCCGCCCCGTGGGAGGAGAGAGGACCGAGGCTTCTCCTACAGGTCATCTGTCTCCTTCTCCTGCCATCCCCCTCTGGTGCTGGTGGGCTCTCCACGCAGGTTTTGCCAGTCAGATGGGACATGGAGTGGCACCCAGCCCAGCTGCATAGGTGAGAGGTCATCTGGGACAGGGAGCATCCTGGCTAGGGTGGGGGGACCTTCTGTTTGGGCCTGAGATGATGACTTTCCTTCCCTGTCTTCAGTGGTCTCATCTGCAAAAGGGAACATGTCTTCCTCCTATGAGCTTCTGCAGCAGGATGTAAAATACCCAGAGCTAGTGTGCTTCAAGGAGTCAAATAGGCAGCCGGGGCCAAGGCTCTGGTTGGGATCTCAGTGGGCAGAGAAGTCAAGATGTGGCTTCATTTTCTTATCCACACCTATTTCCCATGACCATGTGATCTGTATCTTTGTTTTGGCCATCCAGATCCTACCCTGACTACCTGTGCGGACCCTGGCATGCCACAGTTTGGGATACAGAACAATTCTCAGGGATACCAGGTAAGGAGGTCAGCCAAGACAGGGCTTTCCTACATTCTCTCCCTTCCTGTCACTGTCAACATAAGAGGACCTAGGGACCTTCCTCAGGACAGCACTGGGGAGGACAGAGCTTGGAAACCACAGAAAGGAAGTCCTCTGCCTCTTTGGACAGTGCTCCATAGGAGCACCCTGCAGAAACAGAAGGACTATGACATCCATCAGAGAAACTGATGAGGAAGGACAGATGGCATGCAGTTCCACAAACCCTTCCCGGCAACCCCAGGCAGGGTGGTTGCGGAAATACAGAAATGAGTGAGACAGACAGGCCTCTGTCCTCAAGGTGCCCAGCCCACCCACAGATACTGGGCTCACGCACGGTATCTGTGAGCATGTGCCACACAGGAGGCAGGCCCATCAGCATGGCTGGCCCATTAGGATGCAGGCCCTGCAGACACATCTCAGATGAGTTTTGGGAGGAAAGAACTTGGAGAATCTGGGATGGGACACACTGAACAGAGAAAATAAAGAAGAGGAATGTATGGGTGTGTTCAAGGCAGGACAATTAGCTGGAGTCTAAGACGTGCCCAGGAAAATATCAGGGACTAACCTGGACATGGCAGGCTGGGATCTAGTCAAGTAATGTGACTGCGTCAGTGAGTGCAGACTTCACCCACATCCCAAGAAAATTCCTCTTGCCTCAGCTGGGCATCTGGGACTTGCTTGAATGCTCCAAATGACAGGGCGCTCATAACTCACCATGTGAACCGACATCGGTCTCTTTGTGTCCTTATGGACCGGGGCCTCACAGAACACTTCCACACAGTCTGTACTCACTCAGCACATGCTTATGGCCCTGAACTGTTCTAGGTTCTAGGAATACAGTGGGAACAGGACAGGCTGGGTGCCTGTCTGAAGGGAACTGCCTGGCTGAAGACTATAAACAAATAAATAAACAAGCTAGCTTCTGAGAGCACTAGACACTATACAGTGTGATATAAAGTGGTGCAAACGGGGTGGGTTGCCATTTTAGGAAGGATAGTTAAGGAAGGGTGACGTTTGAACTGTGTCCTCCACAATGAGAAAGGCTAGCCCTGTGCAGAGCAGGATGATGTTCCTGGCTGAACAAAAGGCTGGTGCAAAGGAGTGCTGAAGGAAGTGCTTAGCGGCATGGGGGCCTGGGAAACAGGCCAGCTAGCAAGTCTGCAGCCCCGTCAGAAAGGAGAAGGAAGTGCAGTCAAAGAGTGAGGCTGGGTTGGAAAACAGGTTGGCCCTGATGTGTAAAATTAAACACTCACATACTCTATGACCCAGAAGTTCCACCTCTGGAAACATATCCCAGAGGCACTCTTGCACAGGTTACCAAGAAACAGGAAAAGTTGTGGCACAGTCATGTAGTGGATTATTGTACAGCAGAGAAAATGAATGAACATGACATGGATGAATCTTAGAAACACACTATCAAGTGGCAAAGGTGGCACGACACTACTTTTATAAATATTAAAACCAGCAAAAACGTATTAAATTGTTTAGAGAAATGTATGCACATATGTGATAGGATTTGTTTTTTAACGAGGCAAGGAAATTAACACAAATTTCAAGCTAGCCATTACTACGGAGGGGTGTCGAGGAACAGAGCAGGGAAAGAGCTCCTAGAACATTACAGCCACTTTCAGAACATTCTAGCTCTTTAAGTTGTGTGATAGGTTCAACCTAAAATGTCCATTTTATTATTATACTTTATATGTGTTCCATATACTGTTTTGTGTGTGTCAGATATCACATAATTTTTGCAAAGGCGGCAGCATGGGCCAGGTCATGCATGGCCTTGAAGCCATGATAAGTATTTTGGATTTTACCCAAAATGTCATTTGAAGGCAGCACAACCTGATTCATCGTTTGAAATATTGCTCAGGCTGCTGAGTAGAAAATGAATATCAGGGAATTGAGGATAGAAGCACTTAGACAAGGAGGACACTATTGTCGTGACTCCAGGGAAAGAGGTGAGAAGTGATCCTGAACACATTTTGTAGGTAGAACCAGGAGGGCTCATTGATGGGATGGCTTGTGGGGTTGAAGAGATCAAAGAGGACTTGAGGGGTTTGTTTGTTTGTTTGTTTGTTTGTTTTATTGCATTTGACTTGAGGTTTTTGATTGGCACAACGGCATGGATAAAGGTGCCATTTGCTAAGTCAGAGGATGAAATCCAGGACAGAAACGGGTTCAACATGGAGGAAGGGAGTGGAAATTAAGAGTTATACATTGCATTTGCACGTGTTCTAGTCGGTATTAGAGCTACCTACCTGAAGTGTTTGAGCTGGGAAGTAGTATAATCCGAGTTGCAGTGCAGGAAACAGATCTAGCCACATTACACCAAGTGGACTGGGGAGGGAGAGATGGAGCCAGTGGTTGCAGGAGTGTCAAGTCATACTGTGAGGGGCTGGTGAAGGACTAAGGGGGAAACATAACTGAGCAGAGGAGGAAGGACAGACAGAGGGAGGGAGGGAGGGTGGCAGTTCTGTTCAACAGATATTTACAAAGCACAGCTCCAGATTTTCTGGGGGCCATATCTTTAGAGACAAGTCTCCCATCCTTAAAGAATTTGCAATTTCATTGAGGAAAGGGACACATGAACAATAATTTGTATTCTCCTGCACATTTTGTAAAACGCTGTCAAATCCACCATCGCATTTGAGTTTCACAACATTCCAGTGTGATTGTGGCAGAAATGGTCACCCCCACTTTATCCCAAGAAGACTAAGGTTTTCAGAGTTCCATGCAGCCTGTCCTGAGTAAATGTAGAAGCCAGAATTCGGATCCAGGGTCTTCTGACTCCGAATCAGGCACTGTGTCCACAACAGAGTGTAATATTACAACTTTGTTCAGGGCGTTAAATGAGGACTTGTGGAGGAGGCATCATATCAGCTGCCTCAAAGGAGGAATAAAATTTAACCAGGCAGAGAATTGGAAAAAGAGTTTTGCCAGCAACAGCCGGGGAGGAGTCGGGCCATGGGAAAGTGGTCAAGGGACAGATGTAGGAAGCACCACGGGAAGGAAGGGGACCATGGGACTTTCCATCCTTACCACAGGTTGGAAGCACAGTGCTCTTCCGTTGCCAAAAAGGCTACCTGCTTCAGGGCTCCACCACCAGGACCTGCCTGCCCAACCTGACCTGGAGTGGAACCCCGCCTGACTGTGTCCGTGAGTGCAGACTTCACCCACATCCCAAGAAAATTCCTCTTGCCTCATCTGGGCATCGGGGACATGCTTGAATGCTCTGAATGACAGGGAGCTCACAACTCACCATGTGATCTGACATTGGTCTCTTTGTGTCCTTATGCATTGGGGCCTCACAGAAGACTTCCACACAAAAGCCTTTCTGATACCAGAAGGCAGTCCCTATACCTTAGCAAAGAAAAAACTATCCAGTGGCAGCAGCAAAAGCTAACAACTACAAGGCCAGGCCTCAAGATGGAGATTCCAAGCTTTTGACCCAATTACTCCTTCACTGAGGAAGTGCTGCAGGCTTAGGTTTCCACCCCAACCCCAGAGTCAACCAAGCTGATATCCACATGGTCTCCATCTTGGCCATTCCTCTAGACAGAGAGCTTGGGGTTAGGGTGGAGGATTGGGGAGGGGGATGCTTGGCATGAAAGGGACTAGAAGGGAAAGGAATTGGATATTCTAGCTAGGAACAGGGGAGTGGTCGGAAGGACCCCTGAAGCCCCTCATCTCCTCAGGTCCAACAAGGTCTTTCCTCTCGTCCAGCCCACCACTGCAGGCAGCCAGAGACGCCAACGCATGCCAACGTCGGGGCCCTGGACTTGCCCTCTATGGGCTACACGCTCATCTACTCCTGCCAGGAGGGCTTCTCCCTCAAGGGTGGCTCCGAGCACCGCACCTGCAAGGCGGATGGCAGCTGGACAGGCAAGCCGCCCATCTGCCTGGGTGAGTGTGCCTGCTCGGGGAAGCTCTCCAGGGTGGGAGGCTGAAGGTGCCAGCTGAGCTAGAGCTGAAAGAGGGCAAAAAAAAAAAAAGGAAGGAATCTGGTTTCCAGGAGCTGGATCCTGCTTCTGAGTCTAGAAGACCAAACCAGAGCAGTCTAAAAAGGAACATACTCAACCCACCCCAGGTTGCCCCTTTCGCCTGGGCTGAAACACTCACAGGATCACACTTCATCGTTGGGCAGAGGAAAGCACTTTCTTCCACCAACTGGAATGACATATTACACATATTACACCCTTGATAAAACAACACCAGCCTGTAGGTCCCTTGGAGTTACCAGTTTGTCCCAGACCTCCCTTCCACTCTTCTTCATTCACTCGTTCTCTATTTATTGAGAGTTCGCATGGCCCCACTTCTGCGCCAGGCATGAGGGATTCAGAGGAGAAAGACACAACTCTGCCATGTGGAAGACAGACACATTATCAGATTTTATATCTGGAGTACCTGGAGGAGCATGGAGATGTGCCAAATGCTGTAGGAATAAGGAGGAAGGGCACAAAAGTGGGGTAAAGGAGAAGTCAGGGAGGACTTCCTGGAGAAAATGATGTCTGAGTCCAGTCTTGAGGGAAAGGACTAAGGATAAAGGATTAGTTCAGTGCTGGGATAGCATTAAACTCTCTGATAAGTGCTGACCTCACCAGATGCCCAGCACTGTGCTAAGCACTTTGTATATTTCAACTCATTTAATCCTGACAATAGATCCTGTGAGGCTATTTAATATCTGAAGAAACTAGGGCACAGAGAAGTTAACTAATGTGCCCAAGGTCCCCAGCTGAGAAGGGTTAAGAGCTAAAGATCCATACCCTGATGGTCTAACTTTAGGATCTATGACTATTTGCTATCCTGCCACTCAGAGGGAAGCCTTCAGGGTCAGAGCCTGTATCAGAGCTAGAACTTACTAACAGTGTTTTATTTTCATTGTATCGCTTGTAAATTTCTTTTGTTTTCCACATACAGTAGTGATATAAAGTACATTTACTAAGTTTTTATGGTGGTAGAATATACATAATATAAAATTTTAAGTGTACAATTCAGTGGCCTCTGTTATAGTCACTATATTGCACAGCCATTACCACTGTCCATTTCCAGAATTTTTTCATCATCTCTGACAGAAGCTCCATACCCATTAAACAGTAACTGCCCATTTGCCTGTTCCCTTAGCCCGTAGTAACTGCTATCATACTTTCTGCTTCTCTGAATTTGCCTATTCTAAGTACCTCATGTTAGTGGAATCATACAATATTTGTTCTTTTGTGTCTGGCTTATTTCCCTTAGCATAATGTTTTCAAGATTTATCCATGTTGCGGCATCTGTAGGAATCTCTTTCCTTCTTATGAGTGAATCATATTTCATCATGTGACATCCCTTTTTGTTTACCCGTTCACCTGTTGATGGGTGTTTAATTTGTTTCCAATTTTTGGCTATTACAAATAATGCTTCTGTGAACATGTATGTACATATTTTCGTTTTAATATGTTTTCAGTTCTCCTGGGTACATATCTAGGAGAACAGCAACTCTATGTGTAATATTTTGAGAAATTGCCAAACAGTTTTCCAAAGTACCTGCACCATGTTATTCCCACCAGCAGTGCATCAGGGTCCAGTTTCTTGACATCCTTCCCAACACTTGTCTGTCTTGTTTTAGTATAACCATCATCAGTGGGTGTAAAATGGTATCTCATTGTGGTGTTTTTATTGTTTGAGTTTTTAATCCAATTATTTTTTAATTGACAAGTGATTGTATATCTGTAGAGTATACAGCATGATGTTTTGATATATGTATACATTGAGGAGTGGCTAAGTCATGTTAATTAAAATATCCATTAACCTCATATACTTGCCATTTTTTGTAGTAAGAACACAAAATCTACTCTCAGTAATTTTCAAGTACACAGTATTGTTAATAACTATGGTTACCATGAGGTACAAAAGATCTCGAACTTATTCCCCATACAGATTCTGTACTCTTTGACCAACATCTTTCCAATTCCAACCATTCTACCCTCAACTTCTATTAATTAGTTCAATTATTTTAGATTCCACAGGTAAGTGAGCTTGTGCAGTATTTTGTCTTTCTGTACCTGGCTTATTTCACTTAACATAATATCCTCCAGATTCATCCATGTTGTCACAAATGGCAGAATTTCTTTCCTTTTTAAGGCTGTATAGTATTCCATTGTGTATATATTCCACATGTTCTTTATCCATTCATCCACTGATGGACACTTAGGTTGTTTCCATATCTTGGCTATTAGGAATAATGCCACGATAGACATGAGAGTGCAGATATCTCTCTGACTTACTGATTTCATTTCCTTTGGATATATACCCCATAATGGTATTGCTGGATTGTATGGTAGTTCTATTTTTAATTTTTTGAGGAAGCTTCATACTGTTTTCCGTAATGGTTATAGTAAATTAAATTCCTACTAACAGTGTACAAGAGTTTCCTTTTCTGCACATCCTTACCAACACTCGTTATCCTTAATCTTATTTATAATAGTCATTCTAACAGGTACAAGATGATATCTCATTGTGGGTTTCACTTGCATTTCCCTGCTGGTTAGTGATGTTGAGCATTTTTTGTATAACTGTTGGCCATTTGTATGTCTTCTTTTGAGAAATGTCTGTTCAGATCCTTTGCCTGTTTTTAAATCAGGTTATTTGTTTTCTTTCTATTAAGTTATTTCAATTCCTTCTGTGTGTTCCTTAGATGTTAATCTCTTGCCAGATGTATGGTTTGCAAAAAATTTCACCTATTCCACAGGTTGCCTCTTCACTCTGTTGATTGTTTCCTTTGCTGTGCAGAAGCTTTTTAGTTTGATGTAATTCCATTTGTCTTCTTTTGCTTTTGTTGTCCGCGTAATTGTGCAGAAATGATTTATATTTCCTTGGTGGCTAATGGTACTCAGAACCTTTTTATGTGTATATCTTCCTTAGAGAAATGTCTATTGAATCCTTGTCCATTTTTTTTACTGACTAATCTTTTTATTGTTGAGTTGAAAGGGTTCTTTCTCTAGAATACAAGGCCTTTATAGGGTACATGATTTGCAAATCTTTTCCCATTTCATGGGGTGTCTTTTCACTCTCTTGTTGGTGTTCTCTGAAGCACCAATATTTTTAATTTTGATAAAATCCAACTTATCTACTTGGGGAGTTGCATATGCTTTTGCTTTCATAGCTAAGAAACTTTGACACATCCAAAGTCACAAAAAGATTTATGCCTATGTTTTATTCTAAGAGTTTTATAGTTTTACCTCTTACATTTTTGTCTGTGACCCCTCTTGAATTAATTTTTATGATATTAGGTTAGAATCCAAATTCATTCTTTTGCATGTGGATAACCAGTTGTTCCAGCACCATTTCTGGCAAGACTATTCTTTCCCGATTGAATTGTCTTGATACTCCTGTCAAAAATCATTTGACCATAAATGTATGAGTTTATATGTGGAGTCCCTATTCTACTTTATTGATATCCGTGACTATCTTTATGCCATTACCACCCAGCCCTGATTACTGTAGCTTGTAGTAAGTTTTGAAATTGGCAAGTGTCCCAGTCTGGGTGACATAGGGAAACAATGTCTCTGCAAAAAATAAAACAAAAGAAATTAGCCAGAAGTGGTGGTGTATGCCTATAGTCTTAGCTACTCAGGAGGCTGAGATGGAAGGATCACTTGAGCCGAGGATTTGGAGGTCACAGTGAGCTATGATTACACCACTGCACTCCAGCCTGAATAACAGGAAAAAAAGAAATTGGGAAGTATCAATCCTCCAACTTTGTTCTTCTTTTTTAAGATTGCCTATTGTTTTGCCTTTTGTTTCTATACAGATTTTAAGATTGACTTGTTAATTTCTGCAAACTAGACAGCTGGGATTTTGACAGGAATTGCATTGAATCTGTAGATCAGTTTGGGGAGTATTACCATCTGAACAGTATTAAGGTTTCCAATCCATGAACACGTGATGTCTTTCCATTTATTTAGATAATTAATTTCTTTTGATGATGTTTTATAATTTTCAGTGCCCAAGTCTTGCATTTGTTTGGTTACATTTATTCTTAAACATTTTAATCTATTATCATAGATACTTTTATTTAAAAATATAGAATGTTTTAAATGCAGCTGAATTCAGCCCCTTACTGTATGATCTTGAGCAAACCCTTTCATTTCTCTGCCTCTCAACAAGTTTCTTGCTCAGTATCTTGAGCAAACCCTTTCATTTCTCTGCCTCTCAACAAGTTTCTCTTCTGTAAAATTGGGACAATAATCTCTACTTTACAGTTTCGAGAGCAGGAGTAACTGAATAAGTGCCTATCACAGTGCCTCACACATAAGATGCTTTCTCCTTCTTTGCTCCCTTCATCTTACAAAACCTAAGACAATAAAGCATTCTGTTCAGAAGTATACTTTCATTGAGTCACTGCAGAAACTTTTTCCACAGCATTCCATATACCAGGCATAAGCTAACTTCCAGAGTTGAAGGAGGTTTGCTAAAGCTATGCTGCCCTCCAGGGCAGACAGTGGGGAGTCTTCCCTTAATTCAACAAGGCAGATTTTCTATTGTTTATTTGAAAAGAAGAAAAGACATTAATATACTGACCATGACTTTCCTGTTCATAACCTCATTTATTCAGCATAGACCTATGAGGTATGTTTCAGTTTTTTCCTTATTTCAAATCAGGAGGCAGAGACTCCGAGTTACTAGTCAAGGTCACACAGTCATTAAGTGACACTGCTGGGACCTGAACCTTGGCTATCTGGCTCAGGCCCAAAGTTTTGCCTTTGCTTTGCCTGTAAGAAGCCTTAAGGTTGGTCTTAAGCTCATCATTCCAAGGGAGGAATGCACTCCTCTGCAACCCCCACCAGGGCTCATGGAGTTCACTGCTGATGGGTAGAAGTTCCTCCTTCATGTAGGCATCTGCAAGGAAAGCACAGTTGAGGACAGGACTTTTTAACCCTGTTTTCAATGAGGGCATTCGGGGAGTCTGTGCACTTGGATGAGAAAATATATACCTTTATTTTCCTTTTTACTGAAATGTAGCATCTCCTTTAATTTTGAATGTAGAGAACCACCCTTAGGAGGGCTAGCACCTGTGACTTTGTCACCAGTAGAAATTAAAGAGATTCTTATATGTATTCTAATTGCTAACAGTATCATGAAATATTGTTCACGTTCCTGACTACTTCAAGATTATGGTTATTTCTAGACTCATTGCTAGATCCCGTTATTTAATGTAGTAATAAAGAATCACGAAGGCCGGGCGCAGTGGCTCAAGCCTGTAATCCCAGCACTTTGGGAAGCCGAGGCGGGTGGATCACGAGGTCGAGGTCGGCAGATCAAGACCATCCTGGTCAACATGGTGAAACCCCGTCTCTACTAAAAATTACAAAAAATTAGCTGGGCACGGTGGCGCATGCCTGTAATCCCAGCTACTCAGGAGGCTGAGGCAGGAGAATTGCCTGAACCCAGGGGGCGGAGGTTGCGGTGAGCCGAGATCGCGCCATTGCACTCCAGCCTGGGTAACAAGAGCGAAACTCCGTCTCAAAAAAAAAAGAATCACGTATACCACTATATCCTGATATCTTATCTAATATGTTAATAACTGTAACTAATTAAATAAACGTCCCTTGTAATTCTTTGTGTTTATTCTGAGAGGGATCATCAGACCATCAAAGCGGTTCACCTCCTGGTGAACTGCCTAAAAAATAAGTCCAAAGCGAGATCTCAAAGAAGCCATTGACCTAAGGTCAGACAGGTGGCCACTGTTTTTCCAACAGAGTGTAACCAGAAGCTGAACCTGTTTTCTTCCATTCTTTTTCCCCAGCAGAGGTCCGGCCCAGTGGGAGACCCATCAATACTGCCCGGGAACCACCGCTCACCCAAGCCTTGAGTATGTATGGTCCAGATCATTGGCTCAAGAAACTGGTGTTACTTTTTCACAGAGTTAGCCAGAAATATATACACGAGTTGCTGAGTGCTAGAAGAAGGGCATGAAAACTATATATAGAGCTGGATGGATTTCCCTACCCACTTCCCCAGCCCAGGCAGACTTCAGAAGAAAGTGAGCTGGAAGGAAGCAGAAACCTCACCTAGAAGAAAGAGCCAGTGCCTTCCAACTGGAAGCTCTGGAACTGTTGATTACTACAGCCTCTCCTAGCATGGGGCTGGCCAGTGTGTGGCCATACAAACACATTGACCCAGGTCATGACTAGGGAGCTTCCTAGAAATGGTTACAGTTTAAGATAGGTCTAAGGTCTTTCCAAGTATCGCATCCAGAACTGGACACAGAACTACAGATATGGCCTGACCAGTGCCAAATTCTTAGAGACTATCACATCCTTTTTTGAACCTTCTACTTTTATTTACCACATTATCATGTGCATTATACAAAAACGAGGCTAGATTTGGCATCAGAAACTCAATTGGAGTACCATTTTGGTCACTGACCAGCTGTGTCCTTGAACAAATGAGCTTTGCCTCGTAAGCTTCAATTTCCCTTTCAGTAAAATAAGATCATAATTATTGCCATAGGGAATTATTACAGAATAAATGACAATTTTAGTAGCTATCACTGATTAGGTGCTTTTACGGATACAACATCATGTAACACATAATTCACAACATGAGATCATTTAATCCCTACAATAACCCTGATAAGGTAGGTGGGATGGCCACCATTTATAGAAATACAGGCATAATCTATACAGGGAGAAAGTTAAGGCTTTTACACATGATCAAAAAACTGACACGCGACAGAGCTAAGATTAGACTCTGGGTCTGTCTGACTTCATTTGTCCGTGTTCTGATTCACCATGCTATACTGACATGTCAGTTTCTCTCTTCTCCCCTCTTCCCTTTCTCCATCTTTTAAATACCTTTTCTTTTTTTCTCTTTTCTTCTTCCTCCTTCTCTGACTCCTTTCTAGTTCCTTCTCTATGCCTTTTTAAAATATTTTAATTTTAACTGACAAATAATAAATACATATATTTATAGGGTACAATGTGATGTTATTCTATTTGTATGCATTATGGAAAAAATAAATCAAGCTAATTAACATACCCATTATCTCACCTGGGTGAGAACATTTAGAATCTACACTTTCAGCCAGGTGCAGTGGCTCAACCTGTAATCCCAGCACTTTGTGAGGCCAGGGTCGGCAGATCACCTGAGGTCAGGAGTTTGAGACCAGCCTGACCAACAGTGAAACCCCATCTCTACTAAAAATACAAAATTAGCCAGGCGTGGTGGCACATTGCCTGTAATCCCAGCTACTTGGGAGGCTGAGGCAGGAGAATTGCTTGAACCTGGGAGGCGGAGATGGCAGTGAGTCTAGATTGCATCATTGCACTCCAGCCTGGGCAACAAGGACAAAACTCTATCTTTAAAAAAAAAAATTAAGGCTTTTTTTTTTTTCGCAACGGGTTTGCCGCCGGAACATAGGTGTCGTGAAAACTACCCCTAAAAGCCAAAATGGGAAAGGAAAAGACTCCTATCAACATTGTCATCATTGGACACGTAGATTTGGGCAAGTCCACCACTACTGGCCATCTAATCTACAAATGCGGTGGCATTGACAAAAGAACCATTGAAAAATTTGAAAAGGAGGCTGCTGAGATGGGAAAGGGCTCCTTCAAGTATGCCTGGGTCTTGGATAAACTGAAAACCGAGCGTGAACAAGGTATCACCATTGATATCTCCTTGTGGAAATTCAAGACCAGCAAGTACTACGTGACTATCATTGATGCCCCAGGACATAGAGACTTCATCAAAAACATGATTACAGGGACATCTCAGGCTGACTGTGCTGTCCTGATTGTCGCTGCTGGTGTTGGTGAATTCGAAGCTGATATCTCCAAGAACGGGCAAACCCGAGAGCATGCCCTCCTGGCTTACACACTAGGTGTGAAACAACTAATTGTTGGTGTTAACAAAATGGATTCCACTGAGCCACCCTACAGCCAGAAGAGATATGAGGAAATCGTTAAGGAAGTCAGCACTTACATTAAGAAAATTGGCTACAACCCCGACAAGTAGCATTTGTGCCAATTCTGGTTGGAATGGTGACAACATGCTGGAGCCAAGTGCTAACATGCCTTGGTTCAAGGATTGGAAAGTCACCCGTAAGGATGACAATGCCAGCGGGACTACACTGCTTGAGGCTCTGGACTGCATCCTACCACCAACTCATCCAACTGACAAGCCCTTGCACCGGCCTCTCCAGGATGTCTGTAAAATTGGTGGTATTGGTACTGTTCCTGTTGGTCGAGTGGAGACTGGTGTTCTCAAACCTGGTATGGTGGTCACCTTTGCTCCAGTCAACGTTACAACTGAAGTGAAATCTATTGAAATGCACCATGAAGCTTTGAGTGAAGCTCTTCCTGGGGACAATGTGGGCTTCAATGTCAAGAATGTGTCTGTCAAGGATGTTCGTCGTGGCAACGTTGCTGGTGACAGCAAGAACGACCCACCAATGGAAGCAGCTGGCTTCACTGCTCAGGTGATTATCCTGAACCATCCAGGCCAAATCAGTGCTGGCTATGCCCCTGTACTGGATTGCCACACGGCTCACATTGCATGCAAGTTTGCTGAGCTGAAGGAAAAGATTGATCGCCGTTCTGGCAAAAAGCTGGAAGATGGCCCTAAGTTCTTGAAGTCTGGTGATGCTGCCATCGTTGATATGGTTCCTGGCAAGCCCATGTGTGTTGAGAGCTTCTCGGACTACCCACCTCTCGGTCGCTTTGCTGTTTGTGATACGAGACAGACAGTTGCCATGGGTGTCATCAAAGCAGTGGACAAGAAGGCTGCTGGAGCTGGCAAGGTCACCAAGTCTGCACAGAAAGCTCAGAAGGCTAAATGAATATTATCCCTAATACCTGCCACCTCAGTCTTCATCAGTGGTGGAGGAAGAACGGTCTCAGAACTGTTTGTTTCAATTGGCCATTTAAGTTTAGTAGTAAAAGACTGGTTAATGATAACAAAGCATCGTAAAACCTTCAGGAGGAAAGGAGAATGTTTTGTGGACCACTTTGGTTTTCTTTTTTGCGTGTGACAGTTTTAAGTTATTAGTTTTTAAAATCAGTACTTTTTAATGGAAACAACTTGACCAAAAATTTGTCACAGAAATTTTGAGACCCATTAAAAAAGTTTAATGAGGGCCGGGCGCGGTGGCTCAAGCCTGTAATCCCAGCACTTTGGGAGGCCGAGGCGGGTGGATCACCAGGTCAACAGATCGAGACCATCCTGGTCAACATGGTGAAACCCCGTCTCTACTAAAAATACAAAAAATTAGCTGGGCATGGTGGCGCGTGTCTGTAATCCCAGCTACTCAGGAGGCTGAGGCAGGAGAATTGCCTGAACCCAGGAGGCGGAGGTTGTGGTGAGCCGAGATCGCGCCATTGCACTCCAGCCTGGGTAACAAGAGCGAAACTCCGTCTCAAAAAAAAAAAAAAAGTTTAATGAGAAAAAAAAATTAAGAAAAGAAAGAAACACTCTTTCAGCAATTTTGAAATATATAATACATTCTTATTAACTATAGTCACCATGCTGTGCAGTAGATCACCAAAACTTATACCTCCAGTCTAATGGAAATTTTGTACCCTTTGTCCATCTCCCTGTCACCCTCCACTCTGCCCCAGCCTCTGTGACCATCATTCTACTCTCTACTCCAATGAGTTCAAGCTTTTTAGATTCATATGTAAGTGAAATCATATATTTGTCTTTGTGTGCCTGGCTATTCCACTTAATGTAATGTCCTCCAGTTCATACATGTTGCCGTGAATGAAAGAATTTCCTTCTTTTTAAAAGCTGTATAGTATTCCATAGTGTATATATAATATGGAATACACTATGGAATATATATATATATATATATGTGTAATATATATATATATATTACACAAACCCTTTTCTTTGTTCATTCATTCATGGACACTTAGGTTGTTTCTTGGCCATTGTGAATGATGCTGCAGTGAACATAGGAGTGGATATTTATTTCAGTTCCCTCCACCCATCCACTCTGACACACAAAAGGAGAAGAGGCCAGAGCATTCTACCACCCTCTCCACGTGTTAGATGTTGAGAAAAGGAAACAGTTCCAGGGAGTGAGCTGGGATCAGTCATCAGGTTGCCCCAATTCTAGCACCACACACAAAGGCCCTCTCACATCTGTTTCTCAATTCCTCTAGTTCCTGGGGATGTTTTTGCCAAGAACTCCCTGTGGAAAGGGGCCTATGAATACCAGGGGAAGAAGCAGCCAGCCATGCTCAGAGTGACTGGCTTCCAAGTTGCCAACAGCAAGGTCAATGCCACCATGATTGACCACAGCGGCGTGGAGCTACACTTGGCTGGTAAGGAGTAGGCCCGTCTGTGGAAGCCAGGAGGTTGGATGGGCACACACCCTTGGCAAGAATGAGGCTAACAGCATTGCATCCTACTGTCATGCAAGGCTCAGACTTGTCTGGTGGTCAAAAAGAGGAAGTGTCTATTCATCTTTACATGATAAAGCACCATGGACTAAAAGGGAATGTTTAAATGGCAAATATTTTAATTTTAACTTTATATAGTCAAATACAATAATTTGACTATATAAAGAACTCTTATAGACAAAGAGAAAAGACTGATATCTCTAAACTGAACCAAAATTAGGGACAGAGAGTTCCCAGGAGCCAAAATACAATCAGTCAACAAAAAAAAAGAAAAAAGAGTTTTCAGCAATCATCAAAAAAAAGTAAACACAAAATATCATTTTCCACTTCCACCACCAACTTGGAGTGTTTTAAATGATAACACTTAGTGCAGGGCAGGTTCAGCCATGAAGGCCAAACTCTAAAATGGTACAGTTCTAGAAAACAGTTTGATGATTTGTATCAAGATTCTTGAAAATGACTGGACCCATTAATTACATTTCTAACAATTTTTATCATAAGAAGTCGATGTGGAGGAAGTCAAACATTTATGAATAAAGGCTGTTCCCATTACAAGGCCATTTGTAGTATGTAGAAATTTTTCCTAAAATAGAGAAATGGGTATTTTAATTATAGTATACCTACTACTGAAATGTTATGCCAGTGTTGAGGGAAATGCATTCATTATAATGTATTTAAAATATTACTCCAGTGTTTTAAAGGAAAAAATTTACATTCATAAGAAAGAAAACTGAAATTGTTTGCAGTGACATTATTACATTATTACAGTAACATGTTAACAATGGTTATTTCTTAGTGAGATCAGGAGAGATTATTTTTTCTTCATGCATCTCTGCATTTTCTAAAATTTTCCCAATTTTCAATCTTTCTATAATCAGGAAAGTTAAGTATCTTAGAAAATAAGTATTTATTGAATTGATGGATAGACAAATGAATGCATGAGTGAATGAACATCTGAATGCACAACTCCACATACAGTCATATCTATGAAATGATATGTGCACACCCCTACACAGCTACAGGATGACATTTGTTCATTTAACACATGGTAATAGACACACTCACATGCCTCTGTGTCCATGCCCTCATGAACTCTTGCAACCATTAAACTATCTATGCATTAGTGGACAGATTAAAAGACACAAAATCATATTCTCACATATGCACGTATAAATAGAATCACAATCTCAACCCAGTAATCTAATTATGAACATACATATGCATATATTGATAATTATTGCATATAATCACATTCAGCCTACACAAACCCACACTCAATACTATACTTACAACTTAAAGGTATGTGGGGAATGTTTATATCAACATCTACACATGAAAATTCCACCCAGAAACTTATACTGACGAACCCACAAATTTGAGTTTTGAAATTTTCCCAGATCTTTCATGTGTAACCCCTGAACTTTATTTCCCAGGAACTTACAAGAAAGAAGATTTTCATCTCTTACTCCAGGTGTACCAGATTACAGGGCCTGTGGAGATCTTTGTGAATAAGTTCAAAGATGATCACTGGGCTTTAGACGGCCATGTAAGTTCAGCAAATGCACCTCCTCCCTTAATTCCCAGATCACTGGCAGGGAAAAAGAGGACAAAAGGATGTGCAAATTCCTAAGATCAACCTGGAAACTTGGGAGGAGGTTTTCTGTGGGACCCTGCCTGGGAGCAGCAAGAGGGTCCTCATCTGCTAAAATAGGCAAAGGAAAATATGTTAAAAGCCAGAAGACTCAGAATCCAGAGGTTCACCACATTCGAGAGACTTGGAGTAAGGCCAGGCACAGTGGCTCATGCCTGTGTTCCCAGCACTTTGGGAGCCCGAGGCGGGTGTATCATAAGGTCAAGAGAATTTAGACCACCCTGGCCAACATGGTGAAAACCCGTCTCTACTAAACATACAAAAATTAGCTGGGCATGATGGTGTGCACCTGTACTCCCAGCTACTCTGGAGGCTGAGGCAGGAGAATCACTTGAACCCAGGATGCAGAAGTTGCAGTGAGCTGAGGTCATGCCACTGCACTCCAGCCTGGCAACAGAGCAAGACTCTGTCTCAAAAAAAAAAAAAAAGAGAGAGAGAGAGTTAGAGTAAGTTCTGTTGTTGTTTGAACAGAAAGCAAGGGGTAGAGGTCAGGGGCAGAGGAAATTCAGGCTAGTTAAAGGTATTGATGTGGAAGGTGGGAGCTGGAAGAAGGCAGTGAGTCTCACCTGACTACCTCGAACTTCTGCTCACACTTGAGGATGCAGATTGTGAGTGATTTAGCACAGCTTGAGAGACCAGGACATGGCAGAGGGATAGGGCTTTCTTACATTCACCTATGGAAAAGATATTCTATTCTAGGGCTTTCTTGAGGTGGAAGCTGTGTCTCCAATGACACTTCTCTGGCCATATCTTCCTATTTCACACATAGCGAAGTTGAGCATAGCATCCCCAACCACATCCTCACTTCTCTGTCTTGGATTGCTGGAGCTAGAAGAGAAAGGGTGGAATAAAGCAAGAGGTCATGGTAGACCAGAGTAGCAGAGAGCTAGGGAGTCACAGTGCATTCTCATGGACAGGACCAGCTGGTGGAGGACTGTGACATAGTTGACTTTGCTTTATAAACACATCAGGAGAACCAAGTGGCTTCTCCAGGGGCTGGCACGTACAGGTAGTTCCTTGGTAGGCCCAAGGATATCTATAGGTTCCCTTGGTAATCCAAGTATGGGCCAGCTTCAATCGTCATGGCCCAAAAGCTGTGCAGGAACAAGAGACTCTACAATCCAGGAGGGTCAAAGTTGGGACATGGAGCAGGCCAGGGGAAGATGGGGATGGGGCTCCAGATGGCCAAGAATAGCCAGAGCCACTGCCTAGGACGACAGCCAACCATGGAGCCTTTCGATATCCAGTGAGGTATGTTTGGGGGGACAGCTGGAGAGGGCAGACAGAGGCGGCTCCTAGCAGTGGAGCATAGATTGGGAGTAGCCAGGAGCACAGGCATCCTCACAGCATGTCCTCAGCTGCTGTGGCCCCAGACTGCACATTTGAGCATTTGCATCTGTCACATGAGCATCAGTGGCAGGAGCTATGTCCCCAGCTACACCTCCTAAAAAATTAATAGCTCTTAGAACTGTGATGAACTCTCCAGTGTACCTTAAATCTGTGAGGGACATTTTCACCAAGGTTCTGTGTGTTCCATAATGCTCCAAAAGCCAGTTTTTCATCACAGTACTAACAGCTACCAAATATCTAAGGCCTTTAAATTAAGTGTTCTGGCGTGTTTTAATTTCATTAGCTCATTTAATCCTTACAGCCACTCTATGACACAGGTACTGGTAATAGTACCTCAGTTTCTCATGTGCACTATGACACAGGTACTGTTAATAGTAGAATACTGTGCTTTGACCAGTAGAAAATAAAATCTTCCTCCTACCTCATTCATGTAGCTGGTGCCCCTGCCCCACCCCAGGCTTCCCGGTCACACCCACCCTTGCCTGGGTGTGGGCAGAGAACAAACCCTGTGTGTCGGAGCAGCAAGTCAGTGAGTGACTCAGACCTGCTGTGTAGCATGTGCTATGAGAGAGGAGTTCTAGATCCTTCCAGCAGCCTCCCACCTGCTCTCTGTGCTCTCTACCATCACAGGTCTCATCAGAGTCCTCTGGAGGCACCTTCATCTACCAAGGTTCTGTCAAGGGCCAAGGCTTTGGGCAGTTCGGCTTTCAAAGACTGGGTAACTAGCATTTGTCCCTGGGAAGTGTGGGCTCGGGTGTGTGGGAGAAACACCGTGTGTGCCGTGGTCAGGCAGAGGACTGGGGAAGTTGAGGCAGGGGTGCTTGGCCTCTTTTGGATGAGGGATGCCTTTCGAGAGTCTGACAGAAGCTATGGAATACCTCTCCAAAAGCAAACATTCATGCCTAACACACTCAACCTGTGACAAACAGTTTCCTGCTCAGACCTGGAGGGGAGAGCCCCCAGCTCCAGGGACATTGGGTCTTAGATACAGCCCCCAGCCACACCCTCCGGTCAGCCCTCGGGTGTCATCCCTGCCTCAATGAACATCATGGAGTGTCTTAGGGCTCTCAGGGTGCCTTTGCTGTGATGTCGTTTCTGCCCTAGCCCAGCCCTAGAAGTCTGGTTTTGTGGCCATTTTACAGATAAGAAAACTGAGCATCAAGATGGCCTCCCTCCCTGGTCCTTCCCTGGCCTCTTTACCTAGCATGCTTCCTGTCATCCATGTCAAACGTCCACACCTTGGAGACTGGCCCTGGCCCAGAGCCTCCCTGTGCCCACCCTGGGACTCTGGTTGGGGGAGGGGCTCTGGTTTCTCAGAAGCCGGGGACGGGGAAACAGGAAGCAGTTGTGGGTATATGAGAGCCTCTCTGAAACCTGGGCACTGATATCTCCTGTCCCCAGGGCCCCTACCCGCCAAGGCAGTTCACTGCACGTCCTCCGGCTCTGAGCTCCGGAAAGGTTCTCCGGACTGAGCCGTAGTCTGCCTCTGCCTTTCCCACCGACACTGCTCCTCCCCCGGATTTGCCCCAGCTCTGCCCTCATGAGCTGCAAGGACTAAGATGGTCTTCCACACAGCACCCTTCACCTACTTCAAGACAACCAAGCATGATGGAAAGACCTTAGAAAATCACAGCTTTTGTTCTGGCTCCATAGCAAACACCCTGTCCCCTCTCAGAGCCGCAGCCCCTCAGTTAGCGGGGTGCCTAACGGGGCCACAGTGTCTGCTTGTGTTCTTCTGAGCCCTCCCAGTGTCCATGAGGAGGGCAAGGAAGGAGGAGAGGCAGCCTTCCAGAAGGAGATGCTTCAGCTTCAACCAGAACAGTTCTGCCTTCATCTGTCTTATAATTTGGTGTCCCTGTAAGATTTCATCTGATAAAAGGCTTCTACAGCCAAAAGAACTTTAGAGACTTCTAAAGGGCTGCATCCTTGTAAGAGTTTCTGTTGAGCCATGGCTTTAGGCTCCTCCGTGGATGGTCATCTGGGAGCCATCTGAGCGGCACAAGGCAGATACATGCAGGACCCTTCCCCTGGGGACTGAGTGCACACATGGAGGCAGGCGGGTGGCCCTGGGCACATCTGCAACCCCTGCTGGGCAGGAGTGAGGAACACCTTGAGTGGCAGCCCTGCTTCCCAAGAGTTCATAGTAGGGGAGGGCAGCCGACAGGGCCTCAGACCGTGTCTCTGTGACTTGATTTTTCTGCTTTGCAACCTTACAGACCTCAGGCTGCTGGAATCAGACCCCGAGTCCATTGGCCGCCACTTTGCTTCCAACAGCAGCTCAGTGGCAGCCGCAATCCTGGTGCCTTTCATCGCCCTCATCATTGCGGGCTTCGTGCTCTATCTCTACAAGCACAGGTACCACACGGGAAGGAGGCAGGGGGCGCATCAGCCTCCCTCTCTCCCTCTAGAGCCCCACCACCAGACCCCTAAGCCTCTCTGTGTCACTCTTTTCATGCTGTGGTCACTTCCTCCCTTATCGCCAGGAGAAGACCCAAAGTTCCTTTCAATGGCTATGCTGGCCACGAGAACACCAATGTTCGGGCCACGTTTGAGAACCCAATGTACGACCGCAACATCCAGCCCACAGACATCATGGCCAGCGAGGCGGAATTCACAGTCAGCACAGTGTGCACAGCGGTATAGCCACACAGCCTGGCCGCCACCACTGCCACCGAGAGCCCCGCCTCCAGCAGCCGGTGAGCAGGGGTATGGGAGGCAGACAGGCCTTGATAGGCACAGACAGGGACCTGTGCGTGCCAGAGGCTCCACCCAACAGTCACTCATGCCACCACAGTCACACTAGTAAGAGGAGAGCTGTTCACCAAGCATCACTGTGTATCAGGCACTGAACCAGGCCCTTTATGGATCTAACATATTGAATCCCTGCACCCCCTGTGAGGTAGAGGCTACTAGGAACCCCATTACAGATGAGAAAACTGAGGTGCATAGAAATCAACTTGAGCAAGATCACACAGCTCAGAAGGTATGGGGTCAGAATCCAATCCCAGACTGGCTCCAGAAACTGCGCTCCTCACCCCTGAGCTTGGCAGAACATTGGCGTGTATTAGTCTGTTTTTCTCCAGAGAAACAGAACCAACTGGATATATACATCCTCTGGGTCAAGGCCAAGCCCTGGAGACCCCTACAGAGAGGCATATATATGTGTGTATATTGGTATATTGTGTATATATACATGCATACACTATAAATGTAATACATATACCTATACATCTCTAAATCAAGATATATCTCCACACCTATCCATCTATATATAGATAACTACATAGAGGTGTATGTATGCATACATATGCATACGTTATATATATAGAGAACTATAAATAGATATTTTAAAAGAGAGATTCTTCTAAGGAATTGGATGACAAGGTAGAAATCTACTAGGCAGGCCAGCAGGCTAGAAATTCCAGCAGGAGCTGATGCTGTCGTCTTGAGTCCAAAGGCAGTCAGAGGCAGAATCCTTCCTCTTCAGAACACCTCAGTCTTTCTCTTAAGGCCTTCAGCTGATTGAATGAGGCCCACACACATCATGGAGATTTAAAGTCTATTGATTTCTATGTTAATCATATCTAAAAAGATACCTTCACAGCAATGTCCAGAATGTTTGACCTGTCAACTGAGCACTATTGCCTGGGCAAGTTAACTAATAACATTCCCCATCACACAGAACACAAGAGAGGGGAGAAGCCCCCGAGATATGGACAGAGGGGCAGACGCAACCACAAGTGTACACGGTTACACACACACACACACTCATGCACACACCCATCTGACAGGCCCACTGGGAGGGAACTGATGAATCTGAAAGGCACTGCCTCTTCCTCACTGTGTCCTCCCTCTATGACACCCTCACCTCTGGGACCTGGGACCCTGCAGGAGTTGCCTCAACAGGGTGGCCAAGCTGCACCCCTCTGAGAACTGTCTTCTCCCACACGGACAGGCAGGCACCCTCTCTCAGGTCCTGGGCCAAAGGGCTCTGGGGAAAAGGGTCACAGAGCCAGCCAGGTAGGGATTCCCAGTGAGGGCAGTGGAAAATCCACCAAGTGGGCCATCAGCCACACCCAGGGCTAGTGTCGCGCTCCTGCCCCACGCTCCTGCGGATGGCAGCTCATGTGGTGGATACTCCCAGCCACACACAAATGTCAGTGCACCCAGGATACAGGTTTGTATGAGGGGACCTTCGAGGGCCACCAATGGGGAGGGTGGGGACGGTTCCTGCCAAGGGGATTACAAGACCAGCAGAGGTCATTATCGCTGCCCGGCCCCTGACGTGCTTTACTCCCTTTCCACTCACACCTCCAGGAGGATTTCACAGCTTCAGCCTGAGTCCCAGATGGTGAGCAAGTCAGGGACGCAGCAGATGCAGCTCCTGAATACAAATGATTTATGAGAAGAGCTTTTCCCCATCTTTTTACATGTCCCCAAAACAAACATTTCAGTAAGGGCTCCCCCTTATTCCAGTGGGATTGTTTTGACATGCCAAAATTACTCCTCAAGTTTCATCTTTATTCCCAATCTTTACTTTTTCCTACCTTTTTCCTTCTCAGAACTCTCATCAATAGAAGGCAAAAGAGGGGGGAAAATCCCCTCTGATGTAAATTGGGGCTTGGAGGTGATCAGTGATGAATCTGATTCACTGCACAAATTATTGAACAGTGTAAGAAAGAAACAAGGATGCCCCTGACCTCCACATACTGGCTCTCGCTCCACACCTGGGCTCTGCTGGGTTCCAGGTGCTGGTGTGCGCCATGCTGTCACCTCCGGGTTGGCTGGGGTTGGTGGCTCCATGTCTGGGCAACCCTTAGAATTGGCCCCTTGCCAGCAGGCTCTGAACCCATTGCCCAGCCCACAGGTCTCCAGGAGGGCCCCTCTGATCACTTCTGCCCACAGCTGGAGCATAAAGAAAGCAAAAGGCACCCTGAACAGGCACACACACATTTCACATGAGTGACTAGATGGTAATTTTTTTTAAAACAATGCCAAGAAGAAGAGCTGAAATTAAAATGAATGCCCTCCTAGGGAAGCAACAAGGCCTGTGCAGTCAGCAGGTCAGGGGGCAGGGGAACAGGGCTGAGTGATGATGTTTGTGGACCCTTTCCTCCACTAAAAAAAGTATTAGAAATGAGATTTCAAGACTGTGTCATCACAAAAGTGAATATAAGCCAGTCTGGACTCATTAGTACAGATACATTATTATTCTACTCACTTTTATATGATTTTGAAAAAAACTAAAATTAGAACATTTTCCTGGGCTCCTAAAAGTATGGTAGCCCCCAAGCACTGAGCCTCCAGGTCTAATGACGAAGTTGGCCCTGGAAGGGAAAAGGACAGAAAAACACGTGTTCTGCTGCACATATTTTCTGCCTACACCGCACCCCCAACCTTGGAAGATTAAACATCAAAGTGAAGATGGAGGTGATTAATCTTTTTCCCACTTATTCCTTCTTTGCTTTGCCTTTTTGCCTTTGCCTCCTCTGCTCCCCGCCCCTCCCTTCCTCCTGCCTCTTTTTCCTTTGCAAACTCAGGTGTGATCTATTTGTTCCCAGTTCCCCAGGGGGCAGGAAGTAGGCTCCCCTGAGCACAGTGCCCAGTGCCCATCTTCGTTGTCTCTCTGCCTTTGTCTGCTACTGCTGGGACTCGGGCCCTCGCCCTGCCGCCACCTACACCCGTCACCCCGGAGAGGACTCCCGCCGTGCTCTGAAAAGGAGGCAGGAAATGAAAAGGGGCTGAAGACAGAGGAAGGAAGTTTATGGATTTAAAATAGTAAAGCAACTTGTGGATGTGTGTGTGTGTGTGTATGGGCCTGAGCACACACAAACACACACACCTCTCCTTCATTCACGTCCTATGGAAGAGACCATAAAAGCTTCAAAACCAGAAGTGCACATGAAGGATGCTTCATGCCCTATTCCCCACACACAGAAAAGAGATGAAGAGGGGGCGGTATGGTCAGCTTTCAAACCAATATGCCCCCCGCCCATCTCATGTGTGAGGACATGGTGACTCGGTGACTGTAACAGCAGGACGCATCCCATGGTGTGGTCAGTGTGCAAAAACCAGCCACCTGCTGATGGACGGCCCCATCTGCACAGCAGCAGCAGCAAGGATTACCCCAGAGGCAGGAAAAAGGTCTTTGGAAATAGATTGAAAATCAGTTTCTTTATTTTTTCAAACACAATTGTATTGAGTTCTAAATCCAGTGTTTTAAAAAGTCATTTGGGTCCTGGGCAGCACTGGGAATGAAGGGAGAGCCAGGGAGGATAGGGCAGGAGTCTAGCCAGGAACCCAAAATCAAGTCTGGATGTCAACTGACAAAGAGAAGACAAGACAAGTCTGTGGTCAAGAGAGGACGCCAGGTCTGGAGGCAGCAGCGGGGGCCTTGAAAGGACAGGGCAGCAAGCCTGCCCCGGTACCCAAAAAACAATGGCTGTCATGTGCTGGGGTTATTCTCTGTGCTTGACACTTTACCTCTAGTATTTCTAGTCTACACAGTAACACCAAAATGTAGAATTTATTATTCCCCTTTGACAGATGAGAAAATAGAAGCCTGGAAAGGTAAAGACATGTGGGGCAAGTAGTTAGGAAGTGTGGAGTCAGAATGCAAACCCATATCAGTCTGCCCCAAAGTCCACTACACCAGCTGCCAGAAACCCCGGTCTAGAAGGGGCAGCCAAGAAAGGAGGAGCTGGTGAATCTCTGCAGTAGCACTGGGGCCAGGTCTGGGAAGCCAGGCAAGACACCCCTGTGTCCTATCTGGGTTCTGCTCTCTCCACATAGGCAGTCTCAGGGGAAGGACTCAGCTCCCCAGGCCTCCTGCGGTTGATGCTGGCTCCTTGGCTACCAACAGCCGCTGACCATAGCCTGCAAAAGACCTGGCAGGTCCTGAATCAAAACAACCGGGTGGCTGAAAGTCACACTCTCTCCAGCTCCTCGCAAGTGGGTTTGATTTATTTTGACAGCTAATATTATGCTTGGGTCATTCATGAATTCCATGAGTATTGTTGGGAAATTCATGAGTTTAGGAATCTAAGTATGGCATTTAGAGCCACTTTCTCTGTCCTCGGGAAGGCCCCCAAGGGCTTAAGCCCCTGTACATGGATGACATGCTGACCTCAGAGGTTCATGTCACATATTGAAATAACAAATAGAAATATGCAGGAGCAGAGAGACCGTGACACCTGGTTCTTAAGCAAATTCTAGGTTGGAACAATTAGAACATCTGACTGATATTAAGATTGGCCAGAGTACAGTGAGAGGCGTCCATTTCCAGCAGACACAATGGAGGCTGACAGAGGCAGGAGCCCACCCATGGCCGCATCACCTCTGGGACACGGTACCCCTGGGCCTGGCGGGAGGAGGTCAGTCCAGACTCCCTCACGCTCATCTCTTTGCTTGGCTGGAAACAAGGGCAGGAAGCTCCCCTCCGGACTTCTTAAGCTCCCTTCCCCCTTCTTACGCTCCTCTCCTTTGACTGGTCCCTTCCCCCTTTTTATGCCCCTCCCAGACCACCCAGTGGATGCCTCTTCCTGCCCTCCACCCCTCCCCTGCATCTCCTTGTAAAGTCCCATGAGATGCCCGAGGAGCACCTGCTGGTGGGGCACCCAGCACTCTGCTGGGCATCACCCTCTGCACCCTGGCATTTCTCTCCACCTCCAGAGGCTTGGAAGGGAACAGGGTAGATAAGGCCCTTCACCCACCATCTATGCCATACACCCACCACCACCATCCCATAAGGGAAAAAAAAAAGTAAAACAAAAACAAAAAAAAATCTTTTGTACAGAGATATATTTTTATTATACAAAGTTTGTACAGTACCAAAAAAGAAAGAAAAAAAGGTGTAAATTTTTTTTCATTATTGTAGGTAAACGGTAGTAGAAGCCTTTTTTGTAAATGTACAAAAATGTATAAATATGGTTTTCAGAAAACATCAAGTGCTGTAAATATGTAATCTACACCCCTTCTTGGCTTGTCTGCAGTATATACATTTAATTTATCTGTCTCTGTATATGAGGCTTCCCCCTGGGGTCCTGCATTATGGTACTTTCCTGAATTTGAAAGCAATTTTAAATTTTTTGAATTCAAATAAAATATAAATTTTTGCATTGGTTTTCTTACATTTTTATGGCCTCTTTCATGACTAGGGGCAAGTGTTTGTTGGGAAAAGGGAGGAAAGACATATTTTAGCCTGAAACCCAAGGGTGGAAATGTGGGAGTCCCTTTCTTAACTGCATGGTGTTGCCACTGCTACATGTTAGAAACTCCTAGCAAAAATGGTAGTGGATACCCCACATAGAAAAGTTAACTCAAAATGGATCAAAGACCTACACAGAAGATCTACAATGATAAAATGCTTACGAGAGAACATAGGTGGACAGCTTTATGACATTAGATTTGGCAGTGATCTCCTGCATATGACATCAAAAGTATATAGGCAACAAAAGAAAAAACAAATAAATTGGACTACATCAAAATTCACAACTTCTTTATATCAAAAGATACGATCAACATGGTGAAAAGGCAAGCTATGGAATAGAAGAAAATATTTGCACATCGGATACCTCATAAGGGGCTAATATTGAGACTCTACAAAGAACTCTTATGAAAGACTTGAACAGTCATTTCTCCAAGGAAAACATACAAATGGCCAGTAAGCACATGAAAAACTGCTCAACATTACTAATCATTAGGGAGATAATCAGAGCCACAATGAGATGCCACCTCACACCTATTAGAATGGCTACTATCAAAAAATAATAATAAGTGTTGGTGAGGATGTGGAGAAATGGGAACTCTTGTGCTCCATTGGTGGGAATATAAAATGGGGCATCCACTATGGAAAACGGTATGGTGATTCCTCAAAACATCAAAAATAGAATTAACATATTCTCTAGCAGTTCCACTTCTGTGTATATATCCAAAAGAGTTGAAAGCAGAGTCACAAAAGAGATATGTTAATAGCATTTATTCACAAGTGCCAAAAAGTAGAAGGGACCCAGTGTCCATCAACAGATGAATGGATAAACAAAATGTGGTACCTATGTACAGTGAGATATTATTCACCCTTAAAAAACAGGAAACTGACCCATGCTGCAACACGGATGAACCTTGAGGATGTTATGCTAAGTGAAATAAGCCAGTCACAAAAAAATAGATACTGTGTGATTCTATTTATACAAGCTACCTAGCGTCATCAAATTCAAACAGAAAGTAGAATGGTGGTGGCCAGGGACTAGGGGGAGGAAGGGATGGGCAGTTACTGCTTAATTAGCATAGAGTTTCAGTTTTATAAGACGAAAAGTTTCTGGAGCCCTGGAAGCCCTACCCGTTCCACTACTTTTAGCACAAAGAGCTCAGTTGACACCAGGTATGACTTGTCAGCCTCTACATTCTCTCCTGATGAAAGAGTTTTTCAAGTTGAATGTGCAATGAAGGCTGTGGAAAATAGTAATACAGCCACTGGATTCAGGTGCAAAGATGGTGGTGTCTTTGAGGTAGAAAAGGGAGCCTTCCTGGACTTTATGAAGGAGGCTCCAATGAAAGACTGTTTAGTATGGATTGTCATGTTGGAATGATGGTAGCAGGTTTGTTGGTAGATGCTCCTTCTTTGGCAGATGTAGCAAGAGAAGAAGATTCCAACTTTCCATCTAGCTTTGGCTATAACATTCCATAAAAACATCTTGCAGACACAGTTGCCATGCATGTACACTCTGCCGTGATGTTAGACCTTTTGGCTGTAGCTTTACAGTAGGATCTTACAGTGTGAATGACAGGGCACGATTCTGCAAGATGTTTCATACGGTTACTGGGGCCGTACCCTTGGCAAGGCCAGACAAGCTGCAAGGACAGAAAATAGAAAAGCTTCAGGTGAAAGAAATGACCTGCCATGTTAGTGTTAAGAAGTTGCAAAAATATTTACATAGTACACAATGAAGTTAAGAATAAATCTTTTGTCAGAATTCAGCAGGGTTGGTGAGTTAACAAAGCAAGACATGAAATTATTCCAACAGCTATAAGGGAAGAAGAAGAGAAACATGCCGAGGAATCTTTGAAGGAAGAATATGAATTACATGACAACAATAGGTAACATTTACTCCAGCGTCTATTCTATTTCAAATTTCTACTGCAGTCCCAGGTAACATTTAGCCCTGTGGATTATACATACTCACTAACCAATTTTTATTAAATTTTTGTATTGTGAAAAGGGAGAAGAAAGTTCTGGAGATTGGTTGCATAAGTATGTGAATATACTTAATGTACTTAATGCCACTTAACAATGGTGAAGGTGATAAATTTTATGTTACATATATTTTACACAGTAAATTTTATTTTTAATTTATAGTGGGGCCACATCAGCTCAGACCAAGAGCCTGAGGACACAGAAATTGCTCCCTTCAGGGTTGGAGTTTGGCCTGGACTGAGGAGCTCAGGATCTGAGAACCGCAGTCTAAGCGCAGGTAGGATTAGGCAGTAGAAACTCCACAGCAGAGAAAGGCCAAATCGAGGAGGGTCATCCAGGCAAGACGGTCATGAGAGGAGCGGTGAGGAAGAAGAGGAAAGAAGTGGCAAGAGCTAGGAGCCTATGCTTCCTTAAATGTAATATGCAGGCATGGCGCGGTGGCTCACGCCTGTAATCCCAGCACTTTGGGAGGCTGAGGCGGGTGGATCACGAGGTCAAGAGATCGAGACCATCCTGGTCAACATGGTGAAACCCTGTCTCTACTAAAACTACAAAAAAAAAATTAGCTGGGCATGGTGGCACGTGCCTGTAATCCCAGCTACTCAGGAGGCTGAGGCAGGAGAATTGCCTGAACCCAGGAGGCAGAGGTTGCGGTGAGCCGAGATCGCACCATTGCACTCCAGCCTGGGTAACAAGAGTGAAACTCCATCTCAAAAACAAAAAAAAGTAATATGCATTTGTTAGCAATCATCATTTCAGGTGGAAAATTCATCCAGACAACCTTCAGTTTTCTGACTCCCACTACCCTTCACTTTTGCACTATACCTCGACTCCAACTGTCCCCATTGTTACCTCAATAACCCGATTTAGGCCAACTTCCCAGTTTTTTGTTTTTATGTTTTGGGTTTGTTTGGTTGGTTGGTTGGGTTTTTTTGTTTTTTGTTTTTTGTTTTGTTTTTTTTTTTTTGAGACACAGTCTCACTCTGTCACCCAGGCTAGAGTGCAGTGGCACAATCTCGGCGCACTGCAACCTCCACCTCCTGGGTCCAAGTGAGTCTTCCACCTTAGCCACCAAAGTAGCTGGGATTACAGGTGTGTGCCACCATGCCTGGCTAATTTTTGTATTTTTAGTAGAGACGGGGTTTCACCATGTTGGCCAGGCTGAACTTCTGACCTCAGGTGATCCGCCCACCTCAGCCTCCCGAAGTGCTGGGATTACAGGCATGAGCCACCATGCCTGGCCCCAGTTTTAATAAAGGCATTCCATCTGGGACACAATGCCTGGTATTTCTCTTCTGGTTGCAGGGAATCAGCTGGGTGAGTGCAGCCCTCCCACTGGAACCTCAGGTAGCTTCACAGGGATTCAGGGTGAGAAATTGAACTGTTGTCTAACACAAGCTCCTATTGGATCGGGAATCAGGAAAGCGAGGGAGCAAATATTAAGTATAAGTTCAGAATACAAGTTTATATCAGCATGCAAACATGCAAATACTTTATAAGAAAATAGCAGACCGGCTGGGCATGGCAGCTCACACCTGTAATCCCCAGCACCTTGGGAGACCAAGGCCGGCAGATCACTTGAGGCCAGAGTTCAAGACCAGCCTGGCTGACATGGTGAAACCCTGTCTCTACTAAAAATACAGGGGAAAAAAAGAAAGAAAGAAAATAGCAGACAATTGCTGGACACTCCATAGAGTAAGGAAAGACTTTCAAACATCAGGTAAGGACAAGTTTTCCTAAGCTAAAGGATACAGATAGAGGGGGCAAGCCCAAACTACAATGCCTGTGAGACAAGCTGCACCCCACAAGATCACCCTATACCAAGAGAACAGAGTGTCCCTGAACTAAGAAATCAAATAAACACCAACAGCACTCCAGTCCCTCACTCCAGTAGAAGCACCTGTTATTGCTGGTCTAGGAAAATCCTACACATTTATTTTCTCGTGGATGAAAAAGGTTCATGGACATAGTTTGAAAGTTTCTATAAGAAGAATAAAACAGAAAATGAATAGTAAAAACATTGTGACTTGGGTATATACCTAAGAGTGGAAAAGAGGAAAAAAGCAAAGGAAAGAAAACATTGTAACTAATTAAAATATTCCCCTAAAAATAAATAAAGGAAAAGAATGCCTTTTTAAAAAACATTCCAACATTAGTTAAATACAATCAAACAAGCAATTGTAAATATTAAAGTATAATACAAATCAGAAGCTTGAAAACTCAGAATACAAATAGACATAAAACAGGAAGAAATAAATGATGGCTTACAATAAAAGAACAGTCATATCTTATCAATGAAGAGCAAACTGCAAAGTGTTGAATGGGTAACATACAGAAAGAATAATAAAAGGTATACGGGAAGAAAACCTAAATAAGAAAATAGAAATTATATGAACAGGTAAAAAATATGAGACATAAAGTGATAAAAGAGCACTTTCGGAGGCCAAGATGGGTGGATCACTTGAGGCCAGGAGTTAAAGGCCAGACTGGCCAACATAGTGAAACCCCATCTCTGCCATGCATGGTGACACATGCCTGTAGTACCAGCTACTGGGGAATGTCAGGCAGGAGAATCAGTTGAACTTAAGAGGTGGAGGTTGCAGTGAGCTGAGATCACACCACTGCACTCCAGCCTTGGCAACAGAGCGAGACCCTGTCTCAAAAAAAAAAAAAAAAAAAGAAGAAAGAATGTGATAAAAGACAAGCAAAGCAAGCCAATTTATGTATAATGGGAGTCCCTAAAGAAGAAAGCCTAAACAAATGAGACAGAATTAATATCTAAAATTATACTCTAGGAAAACTATTTAGAACTAAAAGAAAAACAACATATATATTGAAAGGCCCACCAGATTCCTAGGAAAATTACCCTGCAATTCTCAGCTCTTGAGACAAACCCTAGTAAATCTGTAAGATTTTTCTAAAAAATAAGA